AGGCTCTGAGTTCTTCTCTCGGTCTCTTCAGACCTGGCAGGCTCGTCCCACTGAAAGAGTTTCAGAGGCTACTGGGACGGATGGCAGCGGCTCGGATTCAGTGAGAATGAGAGCGCGCCTCTCCCCGGAGCGAGCGGAGGCTCTGAGTTCTTCTCTCGGTCTCTTCAGACCTGGCAGGCTCGTCCCACTGAAAGAGTTTCAGAGGCTACTGGGACGGATGGCAGCGGCTTCTTCGGTGTGTCATCTGGGGCTGCTGCATATGAGACCGCTGCAACACTGGCTGAAAGCGCGTGTCCTCCCGAGCAAGTGGTATTCTGGCCACAAGCGCATTATGGTCACCCGCGGATGCGCCCGCGCCCTGGCCCCGTGGAGGAACCCAGATCTCTTCAGCTCAGGCGTCCCTATAGGCATAGTGACGCGGCGCGTGGAGGACCTGACGGACGCGCTAACTGCGCGATGGCCGAGAGTCCGTCTCTATGCTTTTCCTCCGGTAAAAATTTCGCCCATGGTGTTGCGGTGACTCTGGTAGCCCCGAACTGGCCGAATCAGCCCTGGTTCGCGGATTTGGTAGAGTTACTGGCAGGACAGCCATGGGAGATTCCACTCAGGAAGGACCTTCTGTCTCAGGCGAGCGGAACGATCTGGCATCCCAACCCCGGGCTGTGGAGCCTCCATGTGTGGCCGCTGCAGGGTCGCAGAGCGGGCGGGACGCGCTGCACTCCCGAGTTTTGAATACCATCGCGGAGGCGCGAGCCCCGTCCACCAGGCGCCTGTATGCTCTGAAGTGGGGTGTGTTCTCGAAATGGTGTCAGGATGTCGGTATAGACCCAGCGAACTGCTCCGTGTCGGATATTCTACGCTTCCTTCAGTACAGGGAGGAAGGGAGCCTACCATCCACTCTGAAGGTATATGTGGCCGCTATTGCCTCGTTTCACCCCCCTCTTGACGGACAGTCTATCGGTAGACATGCGTCGGTGACACGGTTCCTCAAGGGAGCTAGGAGATTATGCCCTGCACGGCCGCCTTCGGTGCCGCCGTGGGATTTAACGTTGGTCTTGGAGGCTTTGTCGCGACCGCCTTTCGAGCCCTTAGCTTCGATTGCCATTAAGGAACTATCGGTTAAGACGGCACTGCTTCTCGCTCCAGCTTCAGCGAAGCGGGTTGGGGATTTACAGGCTTTCTCTGTAAGTGAAGATTGTATTCGCTTTGGACCGGGAAACTGTAATGTATTTCTCAGACCGAGGCCGGGTTACTGACGCGGTTTACGTTCCTAAGTCGCTCAATACCCCGTTCAGAGCGCAGATTGTTTCTTTGCCTGCCCTGTCCACTGAGCCATCAACCTCTCAGGATTCGGTTGCTCAGAGTGCTATTTGCCCAGTCAGAGTGCTCAGAGAATACATTTCTGGCTCGGCCGCTTTTCGACAATCGGACCAGCTATTTGTGTGCTTGGTGGGTGCAACAAGGGACGGGGGTCTCTAAACAGAGGCTTGCTCACTGGATTGTGGACGCTATTGTTTTGGCTTATGATTGCCTGGGGCAGGAATGCCCCCTTAACGGCAAGGCCCATTCGAGAGCGATTGCCTCCTCGTGGGCTTGGACTAAGGGTATGTCTATTCAGGATTTATGTCTTGAGGCTGGCTGGTCTTCTCAGAACACGTTTGCCAGGTTTTACAAGTTGGATTTGCCCTCTGTAGCGTCTCGAGTGCTTTCGGTGAGTTGACTGCACACACAGCATTGAATAGAGCTGCTCTGCGCTTTGCTTCTGAGTTGTTCTGTGTGCTATTTGTTTGTTTGTACTGTTGTCACCGCTATGCGTTGGCCTTCTCTTACTGTTGTTATTGCCCTGTTTTTCGACAGTGCAAACTTCCCCCGGTTATACTGCTCGGGATATGCAAATTCTGGCAGTGTTTTGTGAGCTTGTGAGTGGTCCCTTTGGGCCTATCAGAGGTTAGAGGTTCGCTATTGTCAATCTCGGCCTATCAGATGCTTGCATACTGGGGGGGCGTTCTTGGTATTTGGTCTGTTGTCAGTGGTTTGTTTGGCTGCCACGGCGTGATTCTATACAGTTCCCATATACGACATCCGTAATGTCGAAGTTCCGTGGCCTTGATAGGGAACGTCTCCGGTTACTTTCGTAACCTCGGTTCCCTGAAAGGCAAGGAACAAGACATTACGCTCGCCGCCGTGTTCGCTATTGATTTCGCGTTTTTGTTCGATTCTGAAGGGAATATAATGCTGCTACGAGGTTTCAGTATTTGCACATTTTGCGTCAATTGGCTAGCTCTGCTGGCGTTAGCCTATAAGATTTCAGCGGAAGTGAAGGATGAGAGGAGTTCCCATATACACTCACCTAAAGGATTATTAGGAACACCATACTAATACTGTGTTTGACCCCCTTTCGCCTTCAGAACTGCCTTAATTCTACGTGGCATTGATTCAACAAGGTGCTGAAAGCATTCTTTAGAAATGTTGGCCCATATTGATAGGATAGCATCTTGCAGTTGATGGAGATTTGTGGGATGCACATCCAGGGCACGAAGCTCCCGTTCCGCCACATCCCAAAGATTATCTATTGGGTTGAGATCTGGTGACTGTGGGGGCCATTTTAGTACAGTGAACTCATTGTCATGTTCAAGAAACCAATTTGAAATGATTCGAGCTTTGTGACATGGTGCATTATCCTGCTGGAAGTAGCCATCAGAGGATGGGTACATGGTGGCCATAAAGGGATGGACATGGTCAGAAACAATGCTCAGGTAGGCCGTTGCATTTAAATGATGCCCAATTGGCACTAAGGGGCCTAAAGTGTGCCAAGAAAACATCCCCCACACCATTACACCACCACCACCAGCCTGCACAGTGGTAACAAGGCATGGTGGATCCATGTTCTCATTCTGTTTACGCCAAATTCTGACTCTACCATCTGAATGTCTCAACAGAAATCGAGACTCATCAGACCAGGCAACATTTTTCCAGTCTTCAACTGTCCAATTTTGGTGAGCTCTTGCAAATTGTATCCTCTTTTTCCTATTTGTAGTGGAGATGAGTGGTACCCGGTGGGGTCTTCTGCTGTTGTAGCACATCCGCCTCAAGGTTGTGCGTGTTGTGGCTTCACAAATGCTTTGCTGCATACCTCGGTTGTAACGAGTGGTTATTTCAGTCACTGTTGCTCTTCTATCAGCTTGAATCAGTCGGCCCATTCTCCTCTGACCTCTAGCATCAACAAGGCATTTTCACCCACAGGACTGCCGCATACTGGATGTCTTTCCCTTTTCACACCATTCTTTGTAAACCCTAGAAATGGTTGTGCGTGAAAATCCCAGTAACTGAGCAGATTGTAAAATACTCAGATAGGCCCGTCTGGCACCAACAACCATGCCACGCTCAAAATTGCTTAAATCACCTTTCTTTCCCATTCTGATATTCAGTGTGGAGTTCAGGAGATTGTCTTGACCAGGACCACACCCCTAAATGCATTGAAGCAACTGCCATGTGATTGGTTGATTAGATAATTGCATTAATGAGAAATTGAACAGGTGTTCCTAATAATCCTTTAGGTGAGTGTACAACATCCGTAATGTCTCGTTCCTGGCCTTTCAGGGAACCGAGGTTACGAAAGTAACAGGAGACGATATCTATGCAAGGGGGTAATCCATCGACCGGAAGTTGAAGCCGGCCGGGTGCCGCCATCTTGTAGCAGAACTTCACTTGCGTTAGCATTTCCATTGACTCCCATTCATTTTGGCGTCACTTTGACAGCGAATAACTTTACATCTGAGGCGTTTAAAGACTCCATTTGTCCATTATTTATTTCTAAAGAAACACGACAATGTATAAAGGGCTCCATTATCTTCTATGTTACATTATGGCCCCGTAGAAACATATTTTGTAAAAATAGGCCAACGATTGTGTCATAACCACTCGACTCTCTGTCGCGCTGTACAGAAATTACCGTACAGACAGGAGGAGAAGCTCGCAGGCAATCGGGGGGACATCCCGTCAAGGGAGAAGCCCATAGATAATGAGTCCATAAAAGCAACGGAATACTTGCTCCTGCTCACTCACGCCAAAGAACTCTTTGCTCAAGTTCCCCGTCTCTGCAAGATTAACGTTGGCAGTTTGCACGCACAGCTACTAGAAGATTAACGTCTGTCAGACAGGTTGCTCACGTCATCAAGCTTAGTTTGAGTCGGTTTGAGTCTGCGCGTCAGGAACGGAAGTGCTCAAAAATCGCTAAAAATGGGCTTCAACTGTCTCAACTGAGTTCCAATGAGATGGCTCTGTCCACTTCTTATACTGTCTATGTATCTATGCCAGCACGTCCCAGGCGGGTTCGTCACTTATTTGGTTCCCCTGGAAACATTTCCATTGTGGTCTGTGTTATTTGCAGCGCGTTTCTGTATTTGGTGGTGTTGTGAGTATTTGGAGCACACGTGTGTTGTGAAACTGATGAAGATGTTTTCTTAATTTGCGGGTGTTTTTTTTATTTGCACACGTTTTTTTCTATTTGCATGCGTTTTTTTCTATTTGCATGCGTTTTAATTTATTTGCATGTGTTTTTTTCTATTTGCATGTGTTTTCTTCAGTTGCAGCGCGTTGAGCTCTCTCGGCCACCGTAAGAAACCCAGTTGGACATTTGCTGAGACCCTCCAGTGAGCCTAGGCCAGAAGGTTGAGAACCATTAAATAAATAAATAATTGTCTCAGTTTGGTGAGGCTGGTTCTTGGCACATAAAAAATGTTGCAACAAAATATGATAATACATTTAGGTTAAATAAACTTTTTTGCTGCAAGCAAGTGTTCTTCATTGAGCTACTAGGCTGCTTTGTTACAGTTGTGCATGTGCATTTTTAAAAAATACACTTCAACTACCTGAAAATGACGGACTTTAGGACCCAGATTATGACTAAACAGAATACAATCACATGACCGTCATGTTCAAAGAGAAGAAACGCTGCAAATCTATTGAAGATCGAAAGTGGACAGCTTTATGCAAAAATGACAGAACTGAAATGTTTGAGCAGTTGTGATATTATTTCCTGACACGTTACGCGCTGGAATCATACTGTCAAACGGAGTGTTTCTGCGTCTGATCAGTTTGATTTAGAGATGAAGTCACAAATAACTTTTGTTTTGATAAGTCTTTGCTTGATGCCAATATTTTTTGTGTTGGTAAGTACCTGTTTCAAAGTACACGTCTATCACATCTACACACTGTGATCAATTAGTTTTCATTAGATGAAGAAATACGTAATTCTTCTAACTGTGTATTTTAGATTTAGCCAAATTCATGTGACTGTTACCACTGTCATAGAAACCATATCAGGGGAATCTCAAAATTGTGATTTTTTTTAGGCCTGGATAAGTAATTAAAATTGTACATAGTTAATTTTTATAGTGATTTTGTAATCATGTTTATTGTAAATGCAATCTATTATACTGTTCAGAATATTTTTAAATGAGGTGAATTCCGACTACAAACACTCAGCATATTTTTAACTACATGACTTTTCTGTTTTAAGGCAGATTCACGCTCATTTTCCATCGACAACAAGAACAACTGCTTCCGAAAGGATGGCAAACCATTTCAGTACATTTCTGGAAGCATCCATTACTCCCGCATCCCTCGGGAATATTGGAAGGACAGGTTGCTCAAGATGTACATGACTGGACTCAATGCTATTCAAGTGTACGTGGAATAGAGCAACAGTGCAAACATTAAGTAAATGCTTATGTTACACATCTTGCCAAAAATCTTTTAAATGCTTTCATGCAGGTATGTGCCATGGAACTTCCATGAGACTGTGCAGGGTGTGTTCAGCTTTTCAGGAGACAGGGATCTTGAGTACTTCTTGAACTTGGCCAATCAGACAGGGCTGTTAGTCATCCTGCGACCAGGGCCGTACATCTGTGCAGAATGGGAAATGGTGACTTCCTAATGTTGCTAAATGTTAATGTTTTGAAATGTGATGTGTTGATGCCATGTGTCTCTGAGACTGACTTCTCAGGAAGTATGTTTTTAAAGGAATTGTTCATCCAAAAATGATATGTTCTTGTACTCACCTTAATAACGTTCCAAACCTATATGACTTTCTTTTTTCCAATAGCACAGAATGAGATTTTAAGCAAAATGTCCATGCTGCTACTTTCTTTTTAATGAAAGTGAATGGTGACCAGGGGACCATTCTGAGTCTCGTGAAGACATACAATAGTTTTGTGGGAGAAAAGGCAAAAAATTAAGTCATTAGCCTATCTACTGAAAAATCTAAAAAATGTGTAATTAGAAAAGTACTTATTTAAAGGGATAGTTCGCCCAAAAATGAAAATAAGCCAATGATTTACTCACCCTTAAGTCATCCTAGGTGTATGTGACATTCTTCTTTCAGACGAATACAATCGGAGTTATATAAAAAAATGTCCTGGCTCTTCCAAGCTTTATAATGGCAGTGAATTGCTGTTTCTGACTTCTTTGAAGTTCATAAAAGTGCATCTATCCATCATAAAATTGCACCACTCGGCTCTGGGGTGTTAATAAAGGCCTTCTGAAGCGAAGTGCTGAGTTTGTGTAAGAAAAATATAAATTTTTAAGACTTGGAAAATAGTGCAAGGATTTGATTTATAATACTAGTAAGAATTCTGGTCACAACACAAGAGACAGCTGTGTGATTGTTATTTTGTGAGTTGTAAATTGTGGGTTCTTGTTTGTCTGATAGGGTGGTTTGCCTGCCTGGTTGCTACAAAAGCCAAACATTATCCTTCGTTCAGCTGACACAGGTATTTGTTACTTCTGTATGAGACATGACTTCACATAGGGTCAGTCCTATCTTTAATGGCAGTGTTTGTCTCTTTCAGATTATTTACAGGCAGCGAGTGACTGGTTGGCTGTGCTGCTCACTAAAATGAAACCGTGGCTTTATCAGAATGGAGGGAATATTATCAGTGTGCAGGTACAATGTAGAGCTAGCATTTAGTATACAAGCATTACAAGACATATTTGTCCAATGCAAGGTATAGTAGTCCCCAAACGAATGGGTCGGTCGCACTGGATGAACCTGGTGTGAAATTCTCAAGGACACAATGTTGACAGCTGGGTTAGAACCTACAACTATTTTGTTACCAGCTGAGATATTTAACTACTATGCTACTCCACCCACAGAAAATAATATTTACTGAGTAAGCAATTGCGCATAATAACAAAGAACTTATTACAGTGACTGATGCTCATGTTTTGTAGGATTTGCAGTAATTGTGTTTGGTGTTGACATGTAAATGGTGCTTTACAGTGTGTAGACAAGTATGGCTGTTGAAGTCTGTATGTTTTGTGAATGTTTACTCTTTTATCAGGTGGAGAATGAATATGGCAGCTACTTCGCTTGTGATTATAACTACTTGCGGCATCTCCACACTCTGTTCCGTTTGTTCCTGGGGGAGGACGTCATTCTCTTTACTACGGATGGGAACACGGATAAAGAGATGAGCTGTGGCACACTTGAGGGCCTGTACGCCACTATAGACTTCGGCACAGGTAAGGCAGACGTGAGGTCAGTTCTGTCTAAATTGTAACTGACCTCTGCAGACATTTTAACTAGAGTTTTAGTCCTTGTCAGTAATGCATATCCAGTGTAATGCCGTAAACAAGAATTTCAGTTCTAAAGTTCATTACAAATGAGTTTGATGAAATGATATTTTTTACCAATTCAAAATGACTAACTTATTCAGAAATTGTTGTCGTTTGCAAAAATTCCTCGACTTTTACATGACAGCAATTGAGATTGAGAGCCATTTGCTCCCAAAACAAAGACAACAATCAATTGGCAATTATTTAGATTGCAGAAAAACTTTATAATTTATATGATAGAACAAAAATTGTAATATAATAAATTCAGTACACTATATACAATTATTTATAAATAAATATAATTAAATTAATAAACAATAATAATGATTATTATTATTAATACTACTACTACTTATAATAATATTATTAAATGAATAAGAATTAATTATTATTATTAAATATAAATGTTATTAAAGCATGCATAATACATATGATGTTATGTCTGATGATTTGTTTTTATTGTGTAAAAAATACAACAAAAATAATCTTTCAAGTAAACGTTAAAATCTTTTAAAAGTTTCTTCATATCAGCTATATGTCAATAATCAACAATCAGTATCCGATAAAAAAAATAAAAAAACTATTACTTGATCTCTACCTCTCTTAAATTTATAGGCTAAAAAAATATAAAAACTCAAGCTTGCATGTGAAATGTCACACAAAGCCGTTGTGATGCTATTCACACTACAACTTCCCCCCCCCCCCCCCCCTTCAGACACCAATATCTCTACAGCCTTCGTCCGACAAAGGAGGTTTGAGCCTAAAGGCCCGCTGGTAAGTAACATGTTTGAGAGAACATTTATGTATTGATTGATTGTTTGTTTTTTCAATTTCTTGAGGTGTGGCAGTAATTGATGTGTCATGATTTCAGGTGAATTCTGAGTTCTATACTGGCTGGTTGGATCACTGGGGTGACAAACATGCTTATGTGGACACTGACAAAGTGTGCAAAAAACTGGGAGAAATGTTGTCCATGGGTGCCAGTGTGAACATGTAAGTAATGTTTTCTATAGAATAATGATAGTAAAGCCATTACTTAATACTAGTTAATATTAAATCTTAGCTGTACTGATGCATAAATTGTGGGTGATGTAATGCATCATGATAATTCAACTTGCATAAAGGGTTTTCTTCTAATTGCAGGTACATGTTTGAGGGAGGAACGAACTTTGGCTACTGGAATGGTAATAACTGCTATCTCAGTGCACCTGTTCCCATATCCATGACAATATCTGTTAATGCAGTCATCTTAATGTGCAACTGCAATGTTATCACTCATAGGAGCAGACCACGATACCAGGTTTCGGTCTGTGGTGACCAGTTATGATTACAATGCACCTTTATCAGAGGCAGGAGACCCCACTGACAAACTGCTTGCCATCAGAGATGTCATTAGGAATGTAAGAACTTGCATATAGTACATTCTGAATGTGCATGTCTATAGATGTACATGTATGCCAGTATCCAATTTAAAGGGAAAAAATAGTTGGTAGGGCTGGAAGGAATGACTGTATATATTATCGTTCAAAAGTTTGGGGTCAGTACATTTTTTATGCTTTTGAAAGTCTCTTATGCTCACCAAGTGGTCAAAAATTAAGTAAAAACTATTGTATAGTAATGTTGTGAGATATTATTACAATTAAAAAAAAACTTTTCTATCAGTCTTCAGAGTCACATGATCCTTCAGAAATAATTCTAACATGCTGATTTGCTCAAGAAACATTTCTTAATATTTTTTGTGGAAACTGATACATTTTTTCAGGATCCTTTGATAAATAGAAAGTTCAAAAGAACAGCATTTATTTGAAATAGAAATATTTTGTATGGTTAAAAATGTATTTTAATGTATCCTTGCTGAATAAAAGTATTAATTTCTTTTAAACAAAAAGAAAATCTTACTGACCCCAAAATGTTGAGTGGGAGTATATTCTTTGCAACAATAGAAAGGGCTTTTGTATGTTATTTACATGTAAGAGTGACATAATTTATGAATAATCATATCTATTGGTTTGCAAATTCCAAATAAAGGTTCCAAATTAAAGAGAAAATAATCAAATGAGATGAATATACACCTGTTCACTGGATCATCTAAAGCATTACAACATAGTTAATTAATATATAGATATTTTTTGTTTCTATTTTTTCTATTTCCAGCTAAACAAAAAAAGTCACATTCCTGTGATATAAAATTTTGATGATACTGCTCTAGTATTTGTCACTAGCATCTTTTGAGTAACAAAACAGACATCCATTCATATGTAGTAATAATATGTGTTTGTTTTCAGTTTCGTGATATTCCAGTTGGTCCGATGCCACCAGCCACCCCAAAGTTCGCTTATGGCTTTGTTACACTTCAGAAGGTGTGGATATTTCATATTTCAAAACCTTATTAATTTGCATGATTTCTTGCCCATTCAAATCATGTTCTTTCATAGGTTGGCAACATTAGCGGCTTGTTAGATACGCTGTCACCTCAAGGTCCAGTACGATCTCAATATCCTTTGATGTTTGAGGAGATTAAACAGGTACGATAATTAAAAGAACATAATACAGTCCATGAACGTAATTATAATGTTATTCATAATGTTTTATGTTATGAGTTTAGCCAGCCTATGTTGTATTTTTTCATAAATAGCTATAGATGTGGATATATGGTTTTGGGCTTTGGAGGCTGGTCTTGGATAAGTGTAAAAGCTGGTCTGAGCTTATGTTATGTCAACTGTGTGCAGTACTATGGCTTCATGCTTTACCGAACGACACTGCCACGGAATGTTCCTGAGCCGACCCCTCTCATCTCGCCCCTCAATGGCATCCATGATCGTGCATACGTCTCTGTGAATGGGGTGAGCAGACCACTTGTTTTGGTCACGTAAACACAATGTTTTGTTCTCGCCATGGTTAGTAAAAACACCGTTTGCAGCTTAAAGCGATGGGTCATCTCAGAATGAAAATTCTGTCATCATTTATTTACCCTCAAGTTGTTCAAAACCTGTATGGGTTTCTTTCTTAAGCTGAACACAAAAGAAGATATTTCGAAGAATATAGTTAACCAAACAGTTGATGGACCCCATTGACTCCTATAGTTTACTTATATTTAACTGTTTATTTGAGCCCAGGTGCCTATACTTAACCATTACATTTTCCATGGTTTTGTTTGAAAGACAGATGATTGCCAGTGCAATTTGTTTAGATTGAAACCAAGCTTGTCTATGAGCAGGTTTACCAAGGGATTATGGAGAGGGACACTGCCCTGGTGATAAACGTTACGGGACGTCAAGGGGATCGGTTGGACATGCTCGTGGAGAACATGGGCAGGGTTCATTTTGGCAGTTATATCAATGATAATAAGGTAAGTTATACTTTGTTCAGGATTTGATAAGATTGTTTAAACCATCTGAGAAAATCCATTTTAGAATGAATAAAGGGAATTAAAAATTGTAGATCGTCTATTTTTCAGGGTCTCTTGGGTAATCTCATTTTGGGAAATGACGTGCTCACTGATTGGTCGATCTACCCTCTGGACATTGACACTGCAGTAGCCAATGGTTGGCTGCAGTCGGCTCACTCGGGGTCAGGGATGGAAGCAGGAGAAGGACCAATGATCTACTCAGGAACCTTGAAGCCTACAGGCCTTGCGTGGGACACTTTTGTAAAACTTAATGGATGGACTAAGGTGAGGCACACTATTCATATAATGAAGAATATCTAGTATTTGTTATTGTTTGAGACTTGACTGACTACGTGCCAGTTTTGTGTAATTCTTTTTTTCTCTTTCAGGGTCAGATATGGGTAAATGGGGTGAACTTGGGGAGGTATTGGCCCCAGAGGGGCCCCCAGCAGACGTTGTATGTCCCTGGACCTTTTCTTAGTGCCACTCAGCCAAACAACATCACAGTGCTGGAGCTGGAAAGAGCGCCATCACACTGCAGAATCCTGTTTATGGACCGGCCTCAGCTCAACAACACTGGACAGAAGACATGACAACATACTCTAGCTGTGCCTTTGAAAAGCCTCTTGCCGTTATGTGATAAACCAGTTATCTGCATCATGTCTGCTTAAATCTATCAAGTATTACAGAGAAATCATAATACATGTTAATACACTTTAATATTTGCCACATTTGCTCAATTTAATGGTCAGTTGATTTCTTAAGACATGGTAAAAATGCAGTTTTTCCCCATTAAAGTGCAGAAGTTAAGTTTAGTACTCTATATGACAAATCTAAGAATGATTGATGTGCAAATCTAAGAATGATTGATGTGCATTAAAGTTAATCTGTTTTAAAATAATATGATTAAATTTCAGAATCATAACTCTATATTCAGCTTTTTGTGAGCCATGTATGATGTAAAATACTTTTAATAAGATAAAAGCATTCTAGCCACTCGGAATAAATGAATAATAAAACAATAAGTAAAAACAAACACAAAAAAACAGTGATGTCCCTGTTTTAATTTGAGTGAATGTTTCATTCTGTGGTGTCAATCATACTTTTTTTTTTATTACAAATCACTGGTTTGGAAACAATATACCAAAAGAATGGTTTCAAAACTGAATTCAAGCAAGAAACCATTTGTACAATCTAAAATTGCTGCAGCTGCTAATCCATGTGGAAGTATAAACTTTAACAACATATCCTTTTGCCATTCCGCCACAGTTTTGCATTTTTTTTAACAAAAGACAAAAAAATTGACTTTACAGTTCTGAATGAACTATGATTTTTAATTAACTGACATCTCATTATAGATGTCTCATCTCATATATGAAGATATATATATATTATATATATACTTTTTTTTTTTTTTTATCACAGTGGTTGGTCTGTGTCCTGAGTGAGTCGAGAAGTAAAACAATATCAGAGTTAAACAATATTAAATTACAAAAACTAGACACGCTGACGTTTACTCAAATCTTTTGCCCATTTATGATTTATTAATCATTCTCTAATCCATTTTCAGGTAATCCTTCTGTCATAGTCTGGTGATTTTCAAAGACAACTATGAGTTCCATGACACATTTACTGTAAAATTCAGTTAACTCCCATTATGTGAAATTTGGCCACAATATGGTACTACTCCTTCCCCTCCTCTAATGCGGTGCAGTAGCATGTAAGAGCGAGGTCAGGGCCGGGCAGCAACGTTGGCTTTGCGGTGGGCTTGAACACAGCGAGGTGTACAGAAAGAGTAGTCCAGATATTCAAAAGGAATCTTCCCCAGCAACGACTCTCCGCACTGAAAGCATCTCCTATCAAAACATTAATGATGACAATTTTAATTTTGGGATAAACTTTTCCTTTAAACACGACTTGCATAAAGGACACAATTATTTCTCCATAGAGGGATTACATGATAAGAAAAGATAATACCTGATGGTAGTGAGTGTTACACCAGTTGTGGCAACATGTTCAGCCAATCTCCTCTCTGCAGCCAGAGCTCGCTGTGACATCAGAAAAATGACAATCAGCCAATGGGTCAACGACGAAACAAAGAGCTACAGTACAGAGCAAGAGGAAGAAAGAAAGTAGTCACCTTCTCTCTGTCACTAAGAGCCGTGAACCTCCTCTTTTCCTCCTCCTCTTGCTGTTTCTGAAGTTTCTCTTCCCTTTGCTCTTTCTCTCTCTGTTTCCGTGCTGCTTTTTGGGCTTTCTTCTTCTCTGCCTTCTTGGACTCAATTTCTTCAGTCAGTGGTCCAGGAACCTTAAACATTAAAGCAAAGAATATACAGCAGTGAGTGACAGATTTATTCATTTTGGTTGCAAAGATAAGACTGCTGTATATACAAAGGTATTCAAAACATCTGAGATTCAAAATCTAATTTAAACCTGAATTTTTATTTTTAATGAACCTTTTTTATACAGTAAAGGTCTGAGAACATTAGTCTGGAAAATAAATGTAGTGTAATATACATTACACTTTTGTATCTTCAATTTTAGTAAAAACTATTTAATACAAATTCAATTGAAAAACAGAATCAATTTCATTAGTGGCCTTGGGCCTTAAATGAATACAAAGGTTTAGTTTTTTTGTTTTAGATATGCCAATGAAGGTTTTGTTAACATTTGTTTGTGCTGCTAGTCATCATAACAAAATAAATTTGTCTACCTGTGCTTTAGTGTAGTCATACTTATGAGGGTGTTCGGCCATGTATTTTCTGAACGTGTTTCGGGTATCTTTTTCAGGAGCAACAACATACGGAGTCTGTCCTTTCTTATCCCTGAAAAAGAAATGGGCTTCTATTTAGAATTGAATGACCCGTCTAACCACATGAAAGCTTATTCATGCAGTATGTTTGTATTGCTGCTAAAAGATTTTTATAGTGATTCTGCATGTGCGCACTTGTTGGCTGGATCACTCCCTGCATCCATTAACAGGTTGATGACTGATTTCTGTCCGGCTGCGGATGCCACGTGCAGTAAAGTAAAGCCTGCTGAGTCTATGGGCTTATTGAGAAGACATAAAACCCTTGAGGTAGGATTCTCTTTAGTTTTTCTCTCTCCTCCATCCTTTTCCTCTTCCTGGTCCTCTGGTAGTTGCAGGAGGGAGCGTAATGATTGGATGTCCCCTGTTTTACAGGCAGTGTAGAGAGCGTCCCTCAAACTGTATTCCCAAGACTCATCCACTTCATCTGAAAAGACAGGAGGAACACTGTGATGCATGCAATTCTCAACTTAAAATGGCTTATAATGCCAGTCATTTTTTGCACCAAAATCTAGGTTAACACTAACGTTGAAAAGAATATTTGGGTCAGTAAGATTTTTTAATTTAGATGTTTTTCGAAAAAAGTCCCTTATGCTCACCAAGGCTGCATTTATTTGAGAAAAAAAAAAAAACATTAATATTGTAAATATATAACAAATATAATTACAATTTAATATAAAATATTTTTATTGTTATCAATGTTGAAATCAGTTGTGCTGCTTAATATTTTTTGTTGAATCCGTGATACATTTTTTCCCCCCAGGAATCTTTGATTGATAGAAAGTTCAATAGAACAGCATCTATTTAAAATAGAAATCTTTTGTAACATTACAAATGTCTTTACAGTCATTTTTGAACAATTGTGACAACTGTGGGTCGTTTTTTCGGCTCCAATATCAGTGTTTTACCTTCTTCTTGCTGATGTTTCTTGCCTTTGGGTTTCCTCCTGCTCCTTGACTTCCTCTGAATTTCTTTAGAGTCGCCTTCACCTTCCAGTTCCCCTTCTTCCACAGTTTCATCTTCTGTCTTTTCTGCAGTTATATCTCTGTTGCTGGAGTCTGAAGACAAAAAACAAAAAAAAGATAATGATGTATATAGTTAAACTTTTCTAACTTTTCTAAAAACTTTTTATTTTTGTTCTGCAAAGGTCGTTACCTTCTCTTTTCTCTTTCCGTTTCCTCCTTTTCTTCTTATTAGGCTGTACCTCATGTTCTCTGAGGTCCAGAGTTCCCAGTGTCACCTCCACCATCTCTAGTGTTCCTGAGTCTTCATTCCCTGAACTTTCTACTTCACCCTCTTCTTCCTCTGCAGGCACTGACCACAGAAGAGCCCTTAAGTACATTTTATTTTTTAGAAACAAGGCATTTAAGACACAGTCAAGTGTTAAGACGCACCATTAGTGTTTGGGATCGGATGACTAACAGGTTTAGGAGTTTTCTTCTTCAACACTCTCTTCGATGGACCGAGAATACTGGAGATTTCTGTGTCTTTTTCTGAAATTTAACAGGCATTCATTTTAAAAGGAAAGAAATTAAAAGGTTGTATAGAAAAACATATTACATTGTGGTAAATCTCAACGTACGATAAACATGTAGAGTTGAGAGCAGATCAAAGACTCGCTGTACTTCACTAAATGTTGCTCTACGTGTGGCAAAAGGAAGTACGCGGACTCTCTGATCTTTTTTGTCCAATGGTGCTCCACGACCTCCAAAAAATATGGTCTTGTTGTAACTTGGTGCTCGCAGAAAGATGGCACTTGTCTCCTTCAAATACTCAGCCCAGCTTTCCAGAAGATCATGAATATCCTGGTTAAAATAGGGCACATAGTGTACAACAGTTCAACGGTGTGGGTTCCGGAAGTATTTTTTTCTCTATAGGATTTTTTTTTAAAGTCTTTGTTCAAGAGTTATGAGCCATGAACCATGCCAACCTGCTACGAGGTTTAACAATGTTGATTATACACTCACCGGCCACTTTATTAGGTACCCCATGCTAGTAACGGGTTGGACCCCCTTTTGCCTTCAGAACTGCCTCAATTCTTCGTGGCATAGATTCAACAAGGTGCTGGAAGCATTCCTCAGGGAGTTTGGTCCATATTGACATGATGGCATCACACAGTTGCCGCAGATTTGTCGGCTGCACATCCATGATGCGAATCTCCCGTTCCACCACATCCCAAAGATGCTCTATTGGGTTGAGATCTGGTGACTGTGGAGGCCATTTTAGTACAGTGAACTCATTGTCATGTTCAAGAAACCAATTTGAAATGATTAGAGCTTTGTGACATGGTGGAAGTAGCCATCAGAGGATGGGTACATGGTGGCCATAAAGGGATGGACATGGTCAGAAACAATGCTCAGGTAGGCCGTGGCATTTAAACGATGCCCAATTGGCACTAAGGGGCCTAAAGTGTGCCAAGAAAACATCCCCCACACCATTACACCACCACCACCAGCCTGCACAGTGGTAACAAGGCATGATGGTTCCATGTTCTCATTCTGTTTACGCCAAATTCTGACTCTAACATCTGAATGTCTCAACAGAAATCGAGACTCATCAGACCAGGCAACATTTTTCCAGTCTTCAACTGTTCAATTTTGGTGAGCTCTTGCAAATTGTAGCCTCTTTTTCCTATTTGTAGTGGAGATGAGTGGTACCCGGTGGAGTCTTCTGCTGTTGTAGCCCATCCGCCTCAAGGTTGTGCGTGTTGTGGCTTCACAAATGCTTTGCTGCATACCTCGGTTGTAACGAGTGGTTATTTCAGTCACTGTTGCCCTTCTATCAGCTCGAACCAGTCTGGCCATTCTCCTCTGACCTCTGGCATCAACAAGGCATTTCCGCCCACAAAACTGCCGCTCACTGGATGTTTTTTCTTTTTCGGACCATTCTCTGTAAACCCTAGAGATGGTTGTGCGTGAAAATCCCAGTAGATTAGCAGTTTCTGAAATACTCAGACCAGCCCTTCTGGCACCAACAATCATGCCACGTTCAAAGTCACTCAAATCAACTTTCTTCCCCATACTGATGCTCGGTTTGAATTGCAGGAGATTGTCTTGACCATGTCTACATGCCTAAATGCACTGAGTTGCCGCCATGTGATTGGCTGCTTAGACATTAAGTGTTAACGAGCAGTTGGACAGGTGTACCTAATAAAGTGGCCGGTGAGTGTATATAAACAGTATATTTTAAGTTTATTGCAAAATATACAGATATAAACAAATATCCCTATCCTCTCAGTATTTTGAGAGGATAGGGAGAAAGACTTGATCACGTCATTCGCAGTGCTTCAAGGGAGTGGGCAGAGCTAAAGAGCTGTTTTTGCATGTTTTGATTGTTACAACTCTCTGATTGGTGGAATTTTTGAACAGCATCATGGGTAATGTTGTTGTTTTTTACCATGAATTCCAGTTAAACACAATTACTTTAAAATAAGTTGAAATAATGCGGGCTGACGGCTTCAAAAGAAGCAAAAATACCATCGACTAACAACCTTGTAGCTCACAGTAGGGCTGTCTTTAAAGGTCAAATCAATTTTCCTATGAAAAATGTTTTACTTCCGGAACCCGACTGTTGCACTCTATGACAATTCCAGACTCATAAATTCTATGCCAGTCAATGTTTTTCAAGCTTTTATACATAAAGGGTGGAAATTCAAAATGGACATTTATATTAATGAAAACACTGGATTCACACCTTATGCAGTGCTGCCTCATTGTAACGCCTGAGGGCCGCCCCTGCAGATTTAGGCACGTGGCTGCGGTTCTGAGAGTCCCTCAGTCCCTGTGCAGTCCCTCGCTTCGCTCTCACTGTGTACCGATGGAACGTCTTATGCTGCAGAATCTCTTTCCTATACATTACACAAATCAATTTGGGGGTAACAATTTATTAACTCTGAAATATTTGTGCTTATTGAAGAACTTTAGAACATGCCACTGACCCCTTAAAAACCGCTCCAGCAAAGTGTCCACCACCAGTCATCAGAATGACCCAAATAGTGTTGTTTGATATTTTCAGTAAAGAAGAAACCAAGTCTTCTTCATTGTCCTGAGAATGAAATATGATAACGGAAGTAGATGAGACTGAAAGAATAGAGTGCTGCAACCTATTCCTAAAACCTGCAAATTCCCCTGAAAATAATAAACTGTTCAGTGGGGATTCGTCTTGGAGAAGGATCTGCCATAGATTAACAAATCTGAGAAATGATGGCTACATTTACTCACTCTCTTGCTTTGTAGAACACAGCGATACAATGAGAGGTACTGTCCCTGCATGTTTTGAAAGACTATTTTGGTGGAACATCGACAAGGGGACTGATCTGTGTCCAGAGCACTGTCTTTCTCCTCAGGGACTACTTCATCTCCAGGATCTTCATCGAGATCCTCATCCTCACTGTCTGAGTCTGAACCCGAAATGCTTGAAATATCGCCTTTTGACAAAAAGAGAAAAACGGAAAGATTACACTTATGCAACTGGATGATATAAAAGTGTTTCTCATTGAGGTCATATGAGCATTCATGAATCTACCTGTCCCAGTCTTCTTCTCAAACTCCTCCACTGTGACCGCGGATCTTCCTTCCAGCCGCTGTCTCAGGTTGAAGCGGTGATAGTCAAGTTTGTAATGCTCCATCTGATCAAAGATTGGGGCTGCATTAATACATATTACATTTCTTTCTATCCCTCACACAAAGCGATCATGTCTCTTTAGAACATTTGGACTAAACCTCACAATTCAGTTTTACGATCTTTTGAAGCGTCAAAGTGTCAGTTGCGTAGCCGTTTATGGAGGGACAGAAAGCTCTCAGATTTCATAACTTGGTCGAATTTCATAACCCTAACTAATCGCATCAGGATTGTCTGTTTACCTGCTCCTCACGACTCTCAAAACGACACTGACAGGCCAAGCAGAACATCCTGTCTGACACCTCTCCGACAGATACAGTCCTTCCTGATCCAGCATCTGTGAGTGTTATGACATGTATGGTATACCGTATAGATATAAACACCTGATCAGCAGCTGTAAGTGATATCATTAGAGCAGTCTGACTCTCTCACCCTCACTGGATGTTTTAGCAGCAGAGGGCTGGGGAGGTTCAGGGTTGCTCAGCAGTCCAGACAATTCTCTCAAACCTGCGGTCACTGTCTGATCAGCGCACAGCGAAAACACACTCCGCAGCTCCGGGGATGCCATGATTCAGTCGACAGAATAAACCACCAGCTATCACCTAAAATACACGAGTAAAAGAGGGAGAGAGATGGCACGTTATGACAGCAAGAGAGAATTTTGCAAACGACAGAACACATATTGTGAGTGACCTGACCTTTGGTCATTACACTAAACATCCGAAGAATATGGACTGCTGATAAAACCAAAGCAATGTCCATGTTTTCTCTCCATTTGACAGCCTGCTTCTCTACAAGAGTAATGCCCATATGCCTGATTCGGCGAAAGATAACACTGAGCTGCTGTCTCTAAAATTAGCTAAATTAATTATAAACAGGTTCAAAGTAAATTAATTGATTTACCTTTTTGGCAAAAACATCGGTCCCTTACGGTGTGACTTTATATTTTCAGTATGAATAAGCCATAGACTGTAAAAACTGGAATAAGCCGACATGAATCATATTACATCACACGTGTTAGTGCTCTACGGTGGCCGAGAAGTGTCATAAAACTATAGCGCGAAAGTCGACATTCAACTCAGTGCATTAAAATAGTACTAATGTTTCCAAGATGCTTGATGCCAAGTTCCCCCAAATATGCTGATATTAAGGTAGAAATATATTTTCATGCAAATTAATCTTGAATAACTAAATAAATAACTGTTAAAAATAGTAGCTAAGTGTGATATTCAGTCAACATAAACTTTTATATCATCATTCTACAAAAGCCAAAATAAATGGTAAATGAAAAGAAAAAATTAAAAATGTATCTGTAAAATATTTATTTGTATTATATTGTTAGTGTATCGTGTTCAATTCATTTTTCATGTATTTGCATGGTTTTTCACACTACAAAATGCTGTCCCAAAGTTTTACACACAAATTCCACAGAAGTCATACCAGTTTGGAACAACAAGCATGAGTAAATGATGACAGATTTTTTTATGATGCTTTAAAGTGTTTTTTTTTGTGCGATATTGCAGTATTTATAATAAATGATTTATCTATGCACATTATTATTTTTAATAATAAAATAATCTTTAATAAAAATAACTTCCTCTACCTCTTACAGCATCATCTCTTCTCTGATGATGTGTTTACTGGTGTGAGGGCAGGACAACCTGTCACCCATGTAGGGTGACCAGACGTCCCGTTTTTCCAAGGACAGTCCCGTATTTCAGCTCTCTTTTTAGAACTGAATTTTTATTTTAAATCATGTTTCATCCCGTATTTCATCTTTCTTAAAATGTCTTTATTCCTGATCAATAGAGCAAGTCTTCTTTCACACAAGAATAGCCTAATCAAAGGTAGCCAATCACGTCTTCTACCATCCAATCACAATTGTCTCTCAATAGTGAAGGCAGGATCCGACGTCAGTGTCAGTGATAGAGAGCGGGGAGGAGATCAAGTCCAACGTGAAGATGTCAAAAAGAAGCGTGTGTATATTTAAAGAGATATTATAGAGATATTATTAAAAAGGAGTCACTGTCAGAGCCAAGTAAATTAAGATACCACATCACAGCAATAGCAAACCACAACCATTCAACGATCCAATGAATTCTTGATGGACAAAATCAAGTCCCGCCCAAAAAATGTTCCTTGTTTGAGAAACAGTTTCACTCAGATGCACATACTTTCATGCTGACTTGAACATTTTATTTTCTTTGAACTGTCTCCCTGAAGGTGTCTCCAGGCTAAAGTTTGAAATTTCAGCCAAAGGACAATCTTTTGAATCTTGAATCATTACAGCAATGACCTTCGGTGAACATTTTTAACTGTGCTTAGAATTCTTAGAAATAAAGTACATGATGGAAAAAAAGTCGCTATAATTTTACATCTTTATTGCAGCTTCATTTTACTAAATATCAAACATAAATGTTGTGTTGCATTTTTTGATGTGTTCACTTCCGTGCTCCTCTTTTTCTCACTGGCTTTTCAGACTTACTCTGGCTGGATGAGCCTGGTTTGCCTAGATTTTCACCCTGTGAAACTGGAAATTGAGATCAGTTGAATATTATCAACAACACATTCTTCTGCCAGTTCAGTACCCACAGACTCCAGAAGAACTCTAGAGATCATGAGCTGTACCTTCCTCTGTGTTTGAAGAAGCTTCCGCCAGTGCTTTCAGCAGCTGCTCACGTTTGAGCTTCAGATTACGCTCCTGCTCCAGCAGGCCGCTTTCCTCCTCCTGCAAACTTCTCACAAGAGCTTGCTTTGACTCCACAGTCCTGTAACAAAGTAGCTTTGAAGAATCAGATGCATCTATGGACAAGTTCTTTAACCAAATTCTTATTAGATCAAAAAACAATCAAAGCAAAGCAATAACACAACATATTCTTTTGGAAGGATCTAACTGAACAATAGAAATACAGAGGGCTGGTAGATCAGCAGTGTTACTGGACGGTCATACCTAGTCAAAGTGAATTCTTCTAACTGATTGGCGAGACTTTTCTTCTCCTGCATGAGAGCATCCAGTTCAAGCAGTGAATTCCAGAGGCCTTCGTCTATCTGGACCATCATCATTATCCTTCGGTCCATCTCCTCTCTGCTAAAGTAACATTAACCTCTGAGCCGATTCATGTCTTCAATAGAAAGGTAACCTAAAAACCCTGATACATGTAGCTAAATAATTACTTCATAAATTATATTAGGCCTATATTATTCATTTTTAAATGGGCAAAGTGCTTCTGAACGATATTAAACGTTGATTTGGTTTGTTCTTAAGGCAAAATGATAGCATATGATTTTCCTACTATGTTTAGGACATAAATACATGCGGAGTCTTCATTTCAGATAGATAATGATAGTATAGAATTAATTACCATTTGTTAACATCTTTGTTTACTCGCCCCACCTCGTCTTTAGTAAGCTGTAGTTCAGTTTTGGCATCATTGAGTTGTTTTAACAAATCCTGTCAGCGACAAACAAAACAAAATAAAACGTGAGTCACGCAAACGCATGTGAAGTTCGTACTAATTATTGTGGATAAACCACAGACTGTACACGCGTTACCGCGGGTCTCTCACCTGTATTTCCGTATCGTCTTGAAAGATGATGTTTGTAGAATTTAATGGGGTCTCCATTACAGCAAAGCAAAACGTTTTCTCCCCCACATACCAATTGCGTTTTGTACCACACGTATCCCTCTAAATAATTTCCGAGGAAATCTGATTGGATGATCAACATAGCCGAAGTTTATTTTATGATATTGAATTCTTCTGTTCAATCAAAACGGCATTATATTTTTACGAGACCGATAGTTATAAATTATCGGATCATCAGAATGATTGCAACGTGGAAAACATACAAACATGAACTATAATTGAAACGTTAACAATGAAATATAAAAGTGAGTTCAAAGAACTTACACTGAACTTTTTTGATGTCCGCCTGACTATTAGCATTTATGGAGCCCGGATAGCTCAGTCGGTAGAGCATCAGACTTTTAATCTGAGGGTCCAGGGTTCAAGTCCCTGTTCGGGCGGACAAAAGTTTTATGTGATGGTGGAATAAATAAAAACACCCATGTGAAAATAGTACTTATAAGTATGTGTAAGAGCATGTGACAATTAAAAACAGCGTAAAGAAGAAAAACAAACATTTGGTTGGCCACCTAGAGTACACATTATGTAACAGGAAGCTGGCGAAGAGTACATAAATAGCAGGGAGCATGAACCTAGACAGCAAACCTCAGTGCACTCATGGAGTACACACTGCTTCTCGTCATCCTCTTCTTCTTCTTAGCAGGACCATGTTTATCCCTGCCTGCTCAGGTAATTGCATATGAGTCATTGTGTTGTTTATATAAATCAAAACACATATTTTAATACATTTATTCTGCAGATTTCCTCTCAATCGAATTCTGGAGCAAGAAGACAAAAGAGAAGCTACGCTGGTATATTGTGTTATATTAAATGATCATTATTAGTTGAAAATCAATTACATTATTTTTAACAGTTGCAGTTCTCTTTGCCAGATGATATTGAAGAAGACAATCAAACTGCAATGGACAAGATCATAGATGTAAATGACTACCAAGGTAAAGCTTTTGCGGTGCAAGTCTGTGAAGATGCGAATGTTCTAGCTTCTGTTTTACTGTAATATCTCTTAAAAAATAATGGCTACTTCCAAAAAGGTCCTCAAAGAACCTTTCAGTGAAAATTTTTTTTATGTGAAGAACAATGTAATAATCTAAAGAAACTTTTCTTTCCCACTTTACAGAACATTTTGTGCAATGGAAAAGTTCCATGGAGGTCCATAGATGCCAATAAAGAATCTTTATTCTTCTGCTCTATAGGCGTCTTTTCCGTGGATGGCACCAACCTCAGAGAAGGAGATATAGCCGTATCCGGTAGGAGTCAGAAGAACTGTTTTGCCAGGAGCTGCCTGTGGACCAAATCTGTGGATGGAAATGTGTACATTGCATACTCACTCTCTCATGTGTACAGTAAGCAGGCTTTTTCATTTTCATATACAGTGCCACATGTGTCACCAACTAAGTAAATCTTATTATTTGGTTTTGATTGTTCCTCTGCAGGCGATGCAGACGTGAAGAACATTAAGAAAGGCATGAAACTCATTGAACAGGACACCTGTGTGCGCTTCGTGCCCAGAACTCACCAGAGGGACTACCTGGACGTTCAGCCCAAAACAGGGTATAAACATCAGATTTATTTCTTGAGATGCATGATTATTTTGAGTGATTCTCATCATTTTTGATGGTCAATACTGTAGGTGCTGGTCATATCTGGGGGCACGTGGTGGCAGACAAACCATTTCTCTACAGACACCCGACTGCACCGGGTCAGGGGTCACCGTCCATGAGCTCATGCACGCCCTGGGCTTTGTGCATGAGCAATCCCGAGCCGATCGGGACAAGTATGTCACCATCATGTGGTCCAATATATGGAAAGGTAAAAGAGCATTTGTATATTTCATATTCTTAAATGCCAATATGCAATTTTATCGCTCACTTATTCTTTTGCTCACAAATATAGACAGGCTGAGGAATTTTGAAAAGTTTAAAACAAACATCTTGGACACCCCCTACGACTACGGCTCTGTCATGCACTTTGGAAAGTATGTCAACGCAAAGTACATTTGAAATGATAACTCTATATAAGAAACTGCAATTATGTAATTTTATTCTTGGTCATTTCAGGTATGCCTTCTCTGAGGACGGTGAACCTACTATTGTACCAAAAAGGAACTGGAATGTGAAGATTGGACAGAGATTTGGGCCCAGCGACTTGGATATAATGAAGATTAATAAACTGTATGAATGTAATGTGTAATGAAATCCATTCACAACAACAAATGATCCATCACAAGGCTAAAGTCTGACATTATTAATGCATTAATGCTTTTACTTCTTTTATTGTAACATTTTAACATTATATGTTTAAAGTAAAATGGCTGATGGTGAAGATTGCTTGCTAATCAAATATAATAAGTAATAATTAGGAACATTCTTTTGTAATCTGTAACCTGCTGTTTCAGTATATTCTGTCTCATCCTTGATGCCTTATATAAACACAATACACTAATAAACCATGTCCATATATATATATATATATATATTTTCTGATATTTCATTTAAGCTTTCATTGCATTGCAAAATAGTAATTATTAGTTGCAAAATAAATCTCCAAATGAGAGTCAAATCAGTCAAACTGTTGACAATCAAATGTTAATAATAGTGTTCAGAATCAGATGATCTCAGAGCTAATAAATACGTATGGAGGCATGAATTACACAAGCTCAATTTAAAACAACCTGTTATTTGGAGTAATGAAAAATGATATGTTTAAGAAAAGGGTGAGGGGTTGTTTATTTTGATATAATGTCAATACAGCACAAATGTAGATGATGTTGAGTTTGAACACTACCTGCAAATGTTGTGCTTGGTCAGAGTGAATAACACAAGAATCAGCAAGATTTCAAATCGCCATTGTAGTGATCAATCTTAAAAATGCTGAAGTGTCAAGAAAGAACTAACTGATAGCAACATGAATGCTTTCCAAACCTTTCATCAAGGAAACGCATGAATATGAAATAATGACACGCTACGTCATACTAACCCTCCATTTGCAACCTGGAGTAAAGATGGGTGTTACCCTGAGAGTATATATTCTTGCTTACAGGGCCTTAACATGCAAAACCCGATTACATCCAGAACACCAGGACGCACTCAAAAGTGACCACCATTATGCTCTGTGTGGGTATTTTTGTGGGATTGGTGTTAGAGTCCTGGTCTTTACCTGTGCAGGTAAGAGTACTACTCCAGTTATGTTGATATTATTTATATCCTTCGAATAAATCTTATTTCTTTTGTATTAGAACTCCTCATTGGTCCATCAGACAAGGCTGAGGTCAAAGAGAGAATATTCAGGTAAACTGGTGCTTCATGAGCAGTCTAGGCTGTTACAATGAATTGTTGTAAATGTACCATTCCTAACCTTCTCAACAGAGCAATACGTGGACCCAGAGGAGATGAATGCCATGGACAGGATCCTCAGAGCAAACCAACGTATGTGCATGACAGATAGGCTACAAACATTTATAGGGAATGACTCCTTGAGCATGAAACATGTGGCTATCTTCCTCCACCACCAGTGTCCAGAGGTTTTCCATTACGGGAGGGTGACATACTGAGTTCAGGATCCCGCAGTGCCATCACATGTTTAGGAGATTCTTGCCGCTGGCCCAAATCTGTTGATGGTTTTGTGTATGTACCTTACATCATGTCCCCACTATACGGTGAGCAAGATTTCTATATTAAACTCCATAACAGGTCTTGATAAATATTATTGGTCAAAGTTAAATCAAGGTCTTTGATATGAAATAATAAATAATAGGATTTGTGTCTCAACAGATGATATGGACAGAATCACCATAGAAACAGGAATGTTGGACATTTCCTCTGCAACATGTGTGAAGTTTGTGCCTCGCACACATCAAGCAAACTTCATTAATATCCAGTCTAGATCTGGGTGAGTCCATTGTAGTCATACATAGTAATTTTTCCCATTTTTCTAAGTTCCCTTTAATATTTCCTCTAACAAAGTCTGATTCTAATTTTGAAAGAGTCTTTGGATCTGTGTTTTTTCTTAGTGTTTTAATTTTTTATGATGATAATTCCTTTGAAATATTTTTTATGACATTACAATATGAATATATATATATATATATGTGCGTGCGTGCGTGTGTGTGTGTGTGCGTGTGTGTGTTCAGTAAATTTGTGGTCAGACTTTGATAGTGCAATAAATTGATCAAAAGTGTCAGTAAATGCATTTGTAGCGTTGCAAAACATTTCTATCTCAAATAAATGCTGTTCTTTTGAACATTCTTATCAAAGAATCATGAAAACATTTATCAGGGTTTCCACAAAAATATTAAGAAGCCTATCCTGTTTTAAATAATACATTTTAAATAGTAAGAAATGTTTTTGAGCAGCAAAGCAGCATATTAGAATGATTTCTGAAGGATCATGTGACCCCCACATTTTTAACGGCATTCATTTATTTACCTATTTACTATTATGATTGCCATCCACTGTCGTCCTCATAGTTGCTGGTCATATCTGGGAATGACAGGAGGCAGTCAGACCGTGTCTTTGCAGTCTCCGGGCTGTATGTGGTCAGGAGTGGCGTCCCATGAGATAATGCACGCTCTGGGATTCGTACACGAGCAGTCCCGCTCTGATCGTGACCACTATGTTTCCATCCTGTGGGAAAACATCATAGAGAGTAAGTTTTTGAAACCAGCACTGTAATTATTGAAGCCTGATGTGTTCAGTATGACAGTGATGTCCGGTTTCTTTCATATAGATCAAAGGCACAACTTTAGGAAGTATGAGACAAACAACCTCAATACAGCATATGACTACAGTTCTGTCATGCACTATGGGAGGCGAGTATCGTAAAATCTATACAGTATGCATGCTTCTGCTAAACTATTAGTGGATAATCTGAAATGCATAAAAAATGTAGTCCATAGTTGCTTAAACATTACCTTAAACCAAACAATTTTGCTGATGCACACACAGGTATGCCTTCTCAGAGGATGGGGGACCCACTATCATCCCTAAACCAGACCCTTATATTCCCATTGGCCAGCGAGACGGACCAAGTCTTCTAGACATTCACAAAATAAACATCTTGTATAACTGTGGTACAGTCATTTCACTTAACACTTTACAATAACTGACATTAACTAACAATCAGCAATACATTTGTTACAGTGTTTATTAATCTCTGTTAATGTTAGTTACAACTGTTAGTGTTGTTAGTTCATGTTAGTTTCATCAACAGATGCAACTTTGGATTTTAATAATGTATTAGTATATGTTCAAATTAACATTAACTAGATTAATAAATACTTTAGGAGTGTTTTTCATTGTTAGTTCATGTTAACTAATTTAACCAGTTTGCTATGCTTCCTGTCTGACTTGCATGTTTGATGTTTCTTTCTTGTGTCCACTAGGTGGCTTTGTGTGAAACATAATTTGTGAAAGAGCCATATGGAACGGACCCATCATAATTCACTGGACAACCTTTATTCACCTTTCCCTTTCATTTTATGATGCATTTAGAATTTACATTAACATTTTAAAATGTATTCATAAGTATCATTAAGATTTAAGTTCACCCCACATGACATTTTAACCTGAACTAATTTTGCCACATAGTCATGAGGGTCCTCTCATAAAATATCACCATGAATTTTATTTCAGAAATGAAAAACATTCTCATCATAAAACATAATGTATTTTTAATGTATTTTTGAATAAATTAATATATACATACAAAATGAGTGTCTTGCTATTATTTTTTACTCAGGGGGAACATAAAACATTACAAACCAGTCATGTTTTGTCTCGAGTTAGTTGTGTGCCATTATGTAAGATCCGACAGAATAGATAATTCACATCATAAATGCAAAAACACATCAGGAACTACCTTGGTCCAGTAGCCGGATGATATTCTCCCTCCACTGAGTGCATCTGGGCTCTAGTGTGCACTCTTGCGTTGGAAACCCATCCTGGACAGCCTTGACCTTCCCCTCCGCCGCCTCTTTCTGCGAATTCTTGCAGTCACCTTTTGCTTTTCACTGTCCAGCACGAATAAACTTCTCAGGAAGTTGAAGGAGAGGTAGAGAGAAAGATATGTGAGAAAAAGATAAGAGGACCAGAGAATCAACATGTGATTAAAAAAACCAACAAAACAAAAACAAAAACAGATGAGATCTAGCACCAGAAATAATGCAGTGGACAGAATATCACAATGACACTGTTTTAAAATGTGTTGTCTTCAGATAGACATAGCAGAGAGTGTCAAAATTTCACTCAATTCTGTTTTCAAAACCCATTGAAAAAAAGTGCAGCAACTCTGCATGTTATGTAAAACAAGTCCTACCTTCCTCTGTTCTAATCAGCTTACACTAGATTAGATTGTTCTAACCAGTGTCATGACATGAAACACACCTATCTCATATTATAACTCAATACTACTATCTGTAGTTCAAATAGTTCAAAAAACAAGCAACGGTTATTTAGTAAAAGGAAAATTTTTACAATTCTGTTAAATATCATAAAATAATTATTACAGGCATATCTTATTTAACAAAATTGTTTTTTTAAATAATATTATTTTAAAGGTGAATTCATCTGAAAACCCTCTGGATTCATACCGTGTAGGCCTACCCTACACAGAATTATTCAATATTGTCATCAATAGGCCTATTTAACCCTCGATCGAAAAACAAACCTTTTGCTTAGCATATCTTTTTTGCTACTGATTTTCAAATTATGGAATTTAAAGAGCCTCGATTACATGTTATACAGCATAATATCGCCCCAAATGTTGATTATACACAGCAATAAACAGATGGTAAACACGTCTCCGAGTCGCCTAGTGGCGCTGTCCACAGCACGCGCATTGACGCACGCGGGCAGTGCTTATTCAAAACACTCGACTTTACAGTCAGTTTCAAATCCGGATGCTGCAGGAAGGCAGAAAAACAAGATTAAAACACGTATATCCGAAGTTTTGCTTGTTATTTCAGACCGAAATACGTGAATGGACACAGTGAAGTTTTCGTGTTTTCAAAAGTAAGCTACTACGTTATATTTGCACTTTAACAGAGACTTAATAAAGCAGTTAAAGCTCTCTATACGGATTGACTGTAGTACATACACGTAACGTTACATATAACTTATATTATGGGGACCAGCAACTATTTGGATAGCCACATTCTTCATGTATATTATATATATATATATTACCTGAATACATAAATTAAAGCCTCAAGCTGTCAAATAATGCTAGCATATTAATCTAATAAATTTACAATATACAGTCAATAGAGTCCCATAACTGATATAATCTAAGTGTGTAATATCAGCCCTTTTCTGGATAGATTTACAGGTGATCTGCAAAACACTTCATAATAAATATAAGGATACGAGTGTTAGTATATTGCCATTGTGCTAATTGTTCTTTATTAACATTTCATCACTGATGAAATCAAAATGCACCTTATTTATTGTGAGCAATTCATCCGTGCGTGTTATTCCAAATACTAAAAATGTTTATGTCAATCTCTTATTGAAATATTATGTCTTGTTTTGCTTTGCTGTCACTTAAACCCTCGTTTTTCAGCACCTAATCACCTCAGGTGATTGACTAATTTTCACAATCCAATCAATTTGCCAATGGATAATATCCTACATTCCCATCCCACATTTTTTTTTAAACTTATTGTGTAATATCCAGTTCCAAGTATAGGGTTTCATGTAACCTTTAATCATTTCATCCAAATAAATGTTTTTATTTTCCACAGCTGATGGCCAGGTATGGAATCAGAACTGTTGATTGGATGGCAGCAGGAGAGGGCGGAGCTGAGGGCGGAGTTATCACATCTGCAGGATGAGTTAGCAGAGAGCAGAGCGGAGAGGGAGGAGCTTGAGTCTCGAGCTCAAGCTTTGACTGACAGGGTGAGGAGGAGGAAGAGGAAGCCATTGGAGTGTGGGGTCCATCAATAACACAGTGAACTGATGCTTAACTGATGGTCTCTCTGTGTGTTTGTACCCATGCTGTTTAGCTGTCTCAGACACTGGACCCTTCTCTGTCATTATCAGTGCGTCTGGACGATGAGCAGAGAGAAGGGCGGAGAAAGCTCAGAGAGGGCAGAGAGAGAGAAGCCAGACAGGCTCTGCTCATCCATAAACTTCAGAACAAGGTCTGGACTCACACACACATTTAATATTCCTTCATATAAGTGATGGCTGAAGATCCTTGTAGAGATTTATCTTTCTAGTTTCAGATCATGGATCTTGTATTGTTCTAGTTTTATATCTAAAACATTTAAGGGTGATTCACACACACAGCAATTTGCAGTGGCAGCAAGACTGGAAGTTATTCATTTACAGTGCGCTTTAGTATTTCCATGACATGAGCAACAGCAAAGTTGAGAGAAGTTTAACTCTATGCTTGTGATTCTCTACTTTTTTTTACTCCAAGGCGTAAAGCCCTCCCCCTAATTTACAAATTAAAATAAGTAACTAAAATAATTATAGTTAAAATAATTACATTTTAGAATTCCAGAAGTTTGTGGTGAATTAAAATAAGAACTTTCTTGATTTGTAGTTTTAGCTTTTGTCAAAGATAGTTTTTTCTCTATCAAATAATTTCCAAAGTGTGAGCTCCAAAGTGAAAGTGAAGGTTTTCCATGATGCATCGAAAACCATGTTAGAAATTATTGCCATTCTATTTTGATTCATGCACTGATAATCATTCATCTTGTTCATGATATTATACATTTCTGTGATTTATATACAAACACTTTCCTCATGTCTTTTTTTAGCAGCAAGAATACTGATTCCCTTGTCAAACTGAAAAGACATCTTATTTTACCAGCAATAAAGCCCATTTGTGATCAGGTTTTCAAAAGCTATGCCCACTGATAATGAAAGGGCATCTAGACCAGCCACTGCGACCAGCAATACAACCACTCAGCAACCTCCAGCAATAAAAAAACGGTGCATATGTGAATGCCCCATTAGCCTACCCATTTATGAGGACCAATCATATCTCAGTTAGTACCAAACAGTCCCTCACTGGTAATTAATGTGCTCTCATGCATGTGTTTGTCAGGTGTTGGAGTACAGGGCTCGCTGTCAAGCTCTGGAGCAGCAGTCGATCAGCGAGGAGCAAGAGCTGAGGATCAGAGAGGTGAGACAAACAACAGTCCTCAGTGTTTTCCTGGAGAGCTGTGAGCTTCACATTAACGCTGTGAATTTCACAGAGGATGCTGCGGGATGAACGCAGTGACACGCTGGAGAGCACCCTCATCAGGCTGGAGGAGGAACAGCAGAGGTGCGTGAGCTGTGTAAGAATGATTTTTATGTTTTTAGTGCCTGAATTCCTGTGACTGAGTTGTGTTTATTCACTGGAGCAGAAGTTTGGGGCTGTCGGAGGTCAGTGCTCTTCTGCGGAGTCAGCTCAGCCAATCAACAGAGGCTAACGAAGCCCTGAGGGACGACCTGCGAAAGCTAACAGCTGACTGGTCTAAAGCTGTGGAGGAGGTGGTGGAGAAAGAAATCGATTGGCAAAAAGAGAAAGAGGTGAGGAAGAAAACTATACTTATTTGGGATATGTGTGTGTGTGTCAGTAAAAATCTTGAGTTGGATTCCCAGGGATCAAAGTCAACACACATACTGATAAAACAATTATTTGTACTGTAAATCGCTTTAAATGGGAAGCATCATTGAAATGTGTAAATGTAAATCTATAAAAGGTTTTATTGCAGTTTTTTCTTCCTGTTATTCTCTTTAAACTGCTTCTTTTTAACAATGATTGTAATGGAAACTCATAGTTTATGTATGCTCAGCCTTGTCATGTAAAAACAACCAAAATGGCAGTGGATTCAACTACCGTTAAAGTTAGTTGGGAAGTAATCTTAGCCTCAGCCGTGACACCCATGGACCGTTGGCTGAACGTCCTTAACGATGCATAAGACACACAAAATGGGAAACACTTGGAGAGTTTCGAAGTCGTCATTGATTAAATTCTCCAGAATTTCCAGGAAATGTGTGTTACGTTCTTTAATGGTCCGCCTGGAAACAAAACCGTTGTGACGCCAAACTTCCATGACTTCCATGGAAGAAGAAAGCCGTCGTGTTTACAACTGTGACAATGTGCGCTTATCAGGATCAGCTAAACGCTGGATTTTCAAATGTATGTGAAGTTCACAGTGCCATTGTTGCAGTAAACTTGCACAACATTCTTGATTGAATTGCACGCCGGTCTGTTATTGTGGGGATATTTTACATTTTCAGACCCCTGAACATGACGTGGATCAAAACGAACTGTGATTGGTTGCTTTACATGTCAGTCAGACACCCTCTTGGGTAGTCCTTGGCTGCAGAAAGCTGCTAAGGAGTCTAGACCTTCTGCCGTCAGTCTGAAGGTCTGGCTACGCAAGACTAGTTGGGAAGCAACTGCTGATCTGTTTGTCATTTACTAAATCCAGCATTACCAGGTGCACTTTTTTAATTCTATTATTTTGCAAGAGGTTTTATGTTGACACAACAAAGCCAGTTCTATTTTCGGCAGTATGAGTGTTGCCCTCTAAGGATGTAAACGCAGCAAAATCTTGGAGTTGTCATCTTGTAATTACAGTAATTTCAATGTGCAGCATTAAATGCAGTTTTCGCTCCTGAAATTTGTGGTTTGAACGTGGCCTTAAAAGCAGGTTCATGAGCATTCAGTAGTTGCTTAGCAATGGCTCAGTTTTTCTGAGCTGATTTTATCAGCGTATTGGGGAATGTGTTGCAATATATTGTCACCAAGCAACTGGGTAGTTAAGTATGTATCCTCCATTAGTGGATGGGTGCGAAAATACATTTCAGAGGTGTTTCACAGAGTGTAAAGATATTACAAGAGCATAAAATGGTGGTTGTTTCCAAAAGAATGGAGATTTAGCTTGAGTTTCATTCAGTAATTCCTTAACTAAAAGCATTGTGTGCTTTGGTAGCTCTTTAAAATAACCTCAAATTTTCCATCCAGTCATTTTTCACATTACATTTTAAGACAAACATTTTAGAGTGCACTTTATTTGGCTTTCAATGCTGTTACCGTGCAGTAATTATAGTATTTCTCAAATGTCAGTGAAAATATTTTCTCATACCTCTGCAGCTGTAAACATGTAGCACTGTGATTTCTCTTCCTCAGACTGAATTTGCAGAGAAAGGCTTTGTAAATATAGCAGGAAGATGTTGCTCCACTTGTTGCTTTCTTTTCCACTGACAGACACAGATGGATGAGTGTTTGTGGTAGTACATTCAGTTTCTGACAAACTGTAGCCTTAGGATCAGTCACAATGTAAAGGGAGCATCTACTGGTTTTCGTTTATGCAATATAAGCAATATTTTATTATTGGAACAGATTGTTTTTATTAATTTAATACTTTATTAATTATGTTGTACCATTATTTCGAATACAGGTTTTGACAGGCCACATAGGGAAGGAGCAGACCAGACTGATGACTCTGTGGGGATGCGTGGTCACGCTCAGACGCCAGTGTCACTCTCTGAAGACTGCTACTGACAAGTGAGGACATACTGAAAAAAATGAATTACTGAATATATCTTTTGGAATATTATAAATATTTTTACTGTCACTTTTAATCAATTTAATGCATCCTTGATGAATAAAAGTTTTTTTTCTTTACCAAAAAATGGAAAAATCTTACTGACCCCAAACTTTTGCATGTAAAGGTCCGAAATTTTCGTATGCGTTTTTTTGTATTCGTCATTCGGTGGCTCTGAATTGTCTCAAAATGCTTGCTAGGGATGCGAAAAAAGCAGAACTCGAACCCAATTCGAATTTTTTTCATGACGTACGAAAGTTTTGGAGGCAGTGTGTAAACGTGATTGACATGACGTGAGGTCGTATTTATTTTATAACGTGCGAAGAATTTTGGACGAGAATTTCCTTTCCTTTGTGCAAGGACCTTTAGTGTATGTATTTTCTGCATCCTCCTTTAAATGTGCATGTGTTGTGTTTTTGTGTCACAGAGACCTGTGGGAGCTGAGAGCAGAGTTCTCTCGTCTCTCCTCATCTCTCCTCTCTGTATGGGTTTCTCCTCGATCGGCTTCTACGCTGCCCCTTGACTTCCATATAGCCCACTCCACTACATCGCAACCTCTCTCCTCCACCCAGGGGCCGCTGTCTCTTGATGATCTGAATCATGAAGAGAGGGAGTCGACTGAATTAAAAGCCAACCTGGAGTCAGAGACACTGGAACTCAGGAATAGGTCATTACAGGGTTCACACAACATTAACCCCGTACTGCATTATTTCAAGTATTCTCAATATATTTGCAATGATTTTGCTGGTGATAAAATGATTTAAAATAATTTTGTTCACTGCATTATTAAAGCTCCAGTCCGTAACTTTTTTAAGTTAAAAATAATCCAAAATAATTATATTAAAAAAAAACTTATTCTGCCAGTGGTCAAAACTATCTGCTTGCCATAGCTAGATTCAAAACGGTTAGCTTGTAATAATGATTTTAATTCCAGTGGTACTGGTGGGTTTCCGCGGGAAATTCGAGCATGTCTTTGCGTCATTACGTCACACCCGTACACATAAAGAAGGAGTTTCGGCTAGCCGGCTATACTGCGCGTGACGAGATGTTTAGATGTATAGGCTTTTCTCGCAGCACTTTACATAATTAAACTTATGGCATCCAGAAAGATCCAAACAACAATCATCAGTGTCAACTGGAGATTCAGCAGTTATAAAACCCAAAAGACTTCGTACTTCGGATTTAAGGTGGCTAGAGAAAGAGAAAGAAACCGTCTCATGCGAACACAAGGATTTAAACAAAAGTGCGTGAACTCTGTGTTTTGAAGGGGTTCAAAACGGAAGAAGAGACGGCTTTTTTCTGCTGAACAAGTAAGTTAAGACATTTCAATAGTTCAATCGTGTAACAATACGTTTTCTTAATTCACACAGTTATGGAGTTTCCTTTGTTGTGCCTTTCTCGTTTTGCTATTATGGAGAATATGAATTCTGAACTACACAGGTAACCATAAAACACATTAAATTTAACATTAGTCACGCAATGCTGATGTTGTTAACATGAACAATTTGAGAACAAAGTAGGCTATAATTTGCACGGTTGCTGTAAATCGCGTTGATTAAATCTAACGAAGCTTATCATGTCGAATGCTTTTTCCCCCTTAGTTGGTTAGAACAAAAATGGATGTTACTTACTTGTTCAGAAGACATTTTCTTATGAAAATTCTTATGTTGGTCAAACTTTCAAAAAGTGAATCTGTGATTCTGTATGACAGTATCCACACAGCGCGGTGACTGACAGCACCACTCGCCTCAAAGCACTGTGTTCATCCGCGCTGTTTCATGCCGATTTACAACCCACGTAAAGATAATAATTCCGCGAATCACTGCAGTTACAGATTTCGAACAGACAGATGGCGACAAAGAGGAAAAGCTACGGACTGCAGCTTTAAAATAATATCTATATATAAAATTACAAGATGTTATTCCAAGTTAAAAGATGTATTAAGGGTGTTTCATTATATTGTACTGTGATTTATTTTCAGGATAACAGAGCTGAATATGACAATTAAAACTCTTGAAACTGAAAGGGAGAATCAGGAGGCTGAGATGGAGAGGAGGCACAGGCAGGAGATGGAGAGAGAACAAGAGCAAGAGAGGAAGTGGCATAGACAGATAGAAATGGAGAGAAACTTTGAGTCTGTCAGACATGCTATCAGGACATTGGTGAGTCAGCATGGGAACAGGAAATAAATTGTGATTATTGTACTGAAGCATGAATGAATTTATGGGTTCACACTCTTTTTGTCCAGTCGAGGGTCCTCCGCTCTCAGCAGATGAGTGGGCAGTCAGGCTCTCTGTCTGCAGATGATGTGTCCAGTGAAGGACTGTCGTCTGTACTCTCTGTCATCGCTCAAGCTGAGACTGCCTTGCAATGGAGACAACAGGAAGTACAGGTTGGTCAACGTGACACCAGAATTTACCCTATTTATTTTCTTAAATGGGCTATATGTAAGAATTTTCATGTATTAATTAATTGCTTTTTTTATTGCCAGTGTGTGAACAGCTTGTAATGAAACTTAAAAAACGAGTCCTTCCAGTGTAGCTAATAACAAGGCTTTCTGAATTCTACATATAGCCCCTTTAATTGTTGTTGTCTTCCGAACAATAACAATGGCTTCTTAATCTTTCATCCAAATTTCAAAATTACATTTTTGACTTGTCATGAAGCTCTCTTAGTAAGCCAGGTCTTTTTTTTGTCAGGATGCTCAGATGAGCTTGCGTAGACTTGGGACAGAGAACGAATCACTGGAGCAGCGAATCACGCAGTTGGAGAGTGAGAGGGCGGAGCTTCAGGAACAGACCAATCAGGGAGCATTGCAGATTAAACACACACAGGAACTACTGAACAGGTGATCAATGCTTCATTGTCTCATTATCATAACTCATACAAATACACTTTTACCTTTTAATATTCCCAAATTCTACCTTTAGGGGTTAATTTAATCGAATAACTTTTTTGAAACATTTGAGTTGTAATATAACGTCTATTTTGGTTATTTACAAACTATTTTAAAACTATTTCGACAAAATTGTACTGAATTTTTCTTGCAGCCATTACAAATGATTATTGGCTTATCTCTATCAGTCGTAACTGTAAAACTGTAATTGCTGTAAACTCACACAGCTGAATTTGAAAGAGTAATCTATGGAGGTGTTGTGTGTGACAGTGAGAAGGAGATGGTGACTAGTTTGCGCAGTCAGATGGAAGAGGCCGAGAGACTTACCGAGGAGCTGAGACAGGAGAATGAACATATGAGACGACAGAGAGAGAAAGAGGAGGAGGAGAGAGTCCAGTTGGAGAGAGAGAGACAGAAACGGTATGCTTATCCATCAATCCCCCTTAATGTAATGCTGAACTCACTGAGGGTGTGTGTGTCATTAGAGCACTGTTTAGTCATGCTTATGATTCAAAATTTTGCTGGTAAATGAAGTGTATTTGTAAATCAGCATGGAGGCAGAAATGCTAGAGGCCGCTCAGCTGTGTGAGAGAGAGACTCGCACCCGTCTGGAGCTGCACAGCCTGCAGGGGGCACTAGAGAGAGAGAAGCTGGACAGAGAACGAGCTGAGCAAGAGACGGCTGACACTAAAGATTCTTTACTGAAGGTAAACTGATATTATTACAGTGGAGAGAGACGGGACTGTCACAAATCATACTCGCAATTTTGAAAAAATCTCACCTATGGTAGCCAGCTATATACACTACAGTTCAAAAGTTTGGTGCCAGAATAATTGCACCAAGGCTGCATTTATTTGATAAAATATACAGTAAAACAATAATAATGTGACATTTTTTACAATTTAAATAATTTAATAATTACAACAAAAAAAAATATTTTCTAATATAATATAATTATTTCTGTGAAATTATTAGCATAATTACTCCAGTCTTCAGTGTCACATGATCCTTCAGAAATCATTCTGATATGCTGATTTGCTGCTCAAGAAATATTTCTTATTTTTTCTATGTTGAAAACGGTTGTGCTGCATAATGTTTTTGTGGAAACCCTAATACATTTTTTTCAGGATTCTTTGACGAATAGGAAGTTCAAAAGAACAGCATTTATCTGAAATCGAAATATAACATTCCAAATGTCTTTACTGTTTGATAAATTTAATGCATATCCTTGCTGAATAAAAGTATTAATTTAAAAATGTTTTACTGACCTCAAACTTTTGAACGGTAGTGTAATTAACAATGTTCAATACATCACAGAATGCCAAATGTTTATGTTTGTAAGGCATAAACATGATTAATGAATGCAGAATGTAGTGACAGCACAGCCATGGATCATGTGATGGTTGTGTCACAACTGGCCCAAAACTCTCTCAAATCAGACCCTTCTCATTGAGTCATGCCTGTTAAAATGAGCTCATGGAGTTTTGTATGAGTTGTGTTGTTTTACATCCTGTATTTCGTCACCCTTCCAAACTTTTCATCATTCCTTTATGTTGTTCCTTTATGGTGTTCTCCTTCTCTCCTCCCTTCCAGGCACGGGAGTCATTACTGGCCCTGTCCTCCAGTCAAACCCAGCTCAAGAGAGAGCTGGCAGAAGGTCGAGATGCCCTGGAGAAAATGGCTGCTTTAAATGAAGCTCTGGCCAAGGACAAGAGAGAACTCAGTGTTCGTGCTCTGCAGGTCTGGCACGCAGGTTTAGCCCATCTTTAGCATAGATAACTTACACTGCCTGCCTAGGGACATGACCAAATCCCTGCAAGCTGTCACAGGCCTCCTGCCTTTAATTACTTGATCCATCGCCAGAATGCATTGATGGCAGGGTCAGGTTTGGGATGGAGGGATGAGAGGTGTGATTTTTGTCTTCCTGACCCCTTAGCTGGAGACGGAGGTGGCAGAAGCCCAGGCCCAGATCCAGGCATTTGGCGCAGAGATGGCGGGTCTGTGCAGGGAAGTGAAGACCACGTCTCTAGAGGCCAATGAGTTAAGGTGTGGCATTGCGAAATTTAAAAATTAATAAGTCAAGTCAGCTGATGAAAAAGCTATACGTGTATTATAAAGTCTGCTGAGTAGGAAAAAAGCTAAATGTAAGCTTGCTAGTATTTGTTTAATTTTTATAGCACTGGAAATGCTGTTTATAGTGGTCTATAATAAATCTGTAATATACTGGAAGACATTTTTAGAACAGTAATGGAAAACTTGGAAATATTAACTAATATAAACCTGGAAAAGCCATGGACATTTGTTTTCTTTTCTTTTTTTGGAAAAAATTAATACTTTTATTCAGCAAGGACGCATTCAATTTACAAAAAGTGACACTAAAGACTTTTACATTGTTACAATAATGTTCGTATTTAATAAAAATGCTGTTTTAAAAAAATGTTTATATTCATCAAAGGACCGAAAAAAGTGTCAGGGTTTCTACAAAAATATTAGACAGCACAACTGTTTTCAACATTGATAATAATAAGACATGTTTCTTGAGCAGCAAATCAGCATATCAGAATGATTTCTAAGGATCATGTTTCACTGAAGACTGGAGTAATGATGCTGAAAATTCAGCCTTTTCATCACAGGGATAAATTATATTTTAAAATATATTCAAATAGAAACATTTGAATACATTTTTAAAGTATATATTTATATTACTACTAAACTAAGGATATCTTGATATAAACATTTGTTTATATTGCCTACCCCTTACCTTTACCTGCTGGTTATGCAGAAGGCAGAGTAAAAGGTGTTTGTATAATAGGCATCTATTGAAATATCTAGATGAAGTGTGCCTGTGACTCTAAATAACAGCTAATCAGGTCCCTAATGAGCTAGTAGGATTTTGGTAGGAATACTAATGAATACATGGGGCTTTTAGATGACACTATAAATGTCTTAGTTTATCTCAGCAGCTGTTATATTTGGCTGTAGTATGCTGGCCCTGTTTATTCACAGCCAGTAATGCTTTACAGCAATTGTGTTGATGACAGTAACTGTGTTCCAGGGAGCGGAGAGAGACGGATCTGAAAACTCTGCAGCAGCTCAGAGACCGAGAGAGAGAGCTGGAGAATGAGCTGGAGACAGAGAGGGAGGACAGGGAGAGGGAGGTGACTGCTTTCACAGAAGAGAAGTGGAAAGATGAACAGAGGATTGCAGAGGTGAGAAACTCAGACAACACTGACTGCTTGCCAACTAGATTCAGAAAACAAAAAAGTAGTCTACTTTTTCGAAAATCTTAACATTATACTGTATTTTAACTAGGCGCAAGGTGACAAGCTTCCAAATAATTGTCTCTCTCTATATATGTGTGTATGTATTTATGACCGATTAAATGAATGTTTTTCTTACTCAATATTTACTAAAATGCATAAATATAAAATATGTTATTGATAAAAGAATGTATTTTTAATAAAAATAAAAATAAATTTGTTTCATGTACAATTATTTATTTGTTTAGTAGCTGTGGAATATGAGGTGAGAGGACATATGGGGGAAAAATTGTGATAATGATGGGCTTTACTGTACATTATCTTGTACACATTTTGTGTTTTGGGTCCACTCATGGACAGTGATGTGTTTGTGGGTCAGTTAACTGAACAGTGCAGTACGATGATGAAGGAGCTGCAGAGTGTCCAGGCAGAACTACTCAAAGCAGCAGAGCAGCAGAGAAGAGCTGAACGAGAGAGAGACAACCTAATGAGAGAGAGCCAGAGACTAGAGGACACAGTATGTTGGCTGGAGAGAGAAAAGGAGGAACTCTCACAAGTCAAAGAGGAACTCGGGTATAGTCTGTGTTTATTTGTTTGAAAAATACACTCTCTCATAAAACAATATACTAATAGCTCAGTATTCTTTTATACTATTCTTTTCAAGAGGCAGTGTGTGCTTTATGAGGACATTTTTACCTATAACATCAACATTAACTCATATTTTATGTTAAATTTGTATAACTGGATAATAATTGAATAAAACATAATAGAAATAGATCAAACATATTACATATGTATTTCAAATAGATATTAGTATTAATATATATTTAGTTTAAACCATTTTTTGTACCAATACCCTATTAGTTTCTAAGCTGCTGCTGTCTCTCTTCAGAGGTGTGGTGGTATGTCTCCAGAAGCAGATTGCTCAGGTTCAGGAACAGTCCTCAGGTCTGGAGGTGCAATGCAGTCAGCTTCAAACACAGGTGGACACGCTCACACAGACCAAAGATGTCTTGCAAGGTCAGATTGTTTAATTAAAAAACAAACTTCTCATTGGCTATTCTCTTTAATGATTTAATATGTCATTGTATTTGTGTGTAATTAAAATGTAAAACTTTTCTCTCTTAATTGTTTAGGGGAGATTCAATGTCTACAGACAGACCTGGAGAGAGAGACAGCACAGAGAGAACAAGAAAACCAAGAAGCAATGGAAGAAAGAAGGAAGAGTGAAAGAGAGATAGAAAACTGGCAGCTGGAATGCAAGAGGATTCAGCGGGATGTTGAACAAGAAACGGAGAAAAACAAAGTACAAGCGGAAGAGAGCAAAACTGAGAGAGAAAGATGGCAAAAAGAGAGAGAAGCTCTGAACGCAGAACTTGGCCAGAAAGATGGAGAAGTGGAGATAATGAGAAACAAAATTGATGGTTTGTTAAAAGAAAAAGAAGAGCTTTCAGACCACTTAGATAAAAGAAACACAGAACTTGAGAAACTACAAATGAAATCAGCAGCAGAGCAGAAAACAGTCGAACTAAGATTGAGAGAAGTGTGTGATGAGATTGAGGGATGGAAGGAGAGAGAAAACAAGGTTCAGAGAGAGAAAGAAGAGTTAAATCAGAAGTATATAGAAAGAGTGGAAAAAGAAAGTCAGAACCTCAAGATCACAGAGAGAGAGAAGGCTAAGATGTCTGATCAAATGAAAATTAATGAGGATGAAATACGAAAGAGGGGAGAGGATATTGAAGAGTTAAAATCAAAAGTCCAATCGCATGAGAGAACAATTGAGAGTCTGGAAATAGAGTTACAAGAGAAAGAGACTTTGGAGAGTAGAGTAAAAGCCCTGGAGAAACACAACACTAAACTGAAAGAGAGAGAAATGGAGAAAATAAGAGAAAATGAAAACAGGCAAAAGAAAAGAGATGAGCAAGAGAGGGAGAAAGAACTGAGGTGGAGAAGACAGTTAGAACAGAAAGATGAAGACTTGATAGAGCTCAAAAGCAGAGTTGAAGAACTAATGAGAGAAAAAGAACATATCTCATTACTCTTGGAAGAAAGAGATAAAGATGTTGAACAATTGCAAACTGCGTTGTCAACAGAAAAGAGAACTCTTGAACTGAGACTGAAAGAGGCAAAAGACAATGTGGAGTGGTGGAAGAGACGAGCTGGCAACATGGAAAAAGTGAAGGAGAGCATAAATTGGGTCGCTGAAAGAGAGAGAACAGAACTGACCGAGCTTCTTAGAGAAAAAGAAGAAGAGGTACAAAAGAGAGAAGAGGACATTGGTGATCTCAAAGGTAGAATTCAGTCATTAGACGTAATCATAGAGAAACTAGAGACTGATGTTCAGCAGAAGGATGAACAACTTCAACTTCTAAAGGAGCAAATCTCACAGATAAAAGAGAGGGAGATGGAGAAACAAAAAGAGGTGGACAGGAAGCAAGTAGAGGTAAAAGAACAGGAGAAACAACTGAAAAGAGAATTAGAAGATCTCAATACTCAAATGGAGGGAGTCATTCAAGAAAAAGAGGCGACACTAGAAAGGGTGGAAGAGAGAGATAGTGAGCTGAAAGAATTACAAGCAAAACTTACTCAAGAACAGAAGACGTTTGAACAGAAGCTCAAAGCAGAGCGCGAAGAGGTGAACGGGTGCAAAGCCAAGTTAGCTGAGATGGAACGAAACCGGATGAGCTTGGAGGAAAGGGAGAAACAGGAAAAGAAAAGACAGGAGATGGAGGAAAGAGATAGAGAGCAGCTACTGAGAGAAGAACTCCTTCAGAAGGAGTGGGAGTTGAAGCAGTTGAGATTAAAGATTGATGAACTGAACCAGGAAAACGAGGAGGACAGGAGGATAAGAATGGAGCAACAAGAAGACCTTGAACGACAAACTGCCCTCCTACAAGACACTAAGGAGGCGGCACGGGAACTGAAGAAGAGTTTACAACAAAAAGAAAAAGAGGAAAGAGAGAGAGTCCACCGTGATGAAGAAGCAATGAGAAGGCTGAGAGAAAAGCTGCATGAAACCGAACAGAGGTACCTTGAAGTCTCAAGCTGTCTACGAGAGACTGAAATTAAACTGGAGAAGGAAAAATGTCAGAACAGAGAGAAAGATGAGAGACTTATGGGCTGTAACCAAGAGCAACTATTGGTCAAACGTGAGCTGGATCAAGAGCGGGAGACTGTTGAAGAACTGAAGAAACTTATAGGAGAACAAGGTGAAGAGGTGAAGACACTGAAGGGAAAGTTGGATGAACGGTTGGAAGATGTGGGAAGGTTGTCACAACTGCTGCAAAACAGCAGAGGGGAAGCACAGGCGTTTGAATCCAGGGCAGAAAACAGTGAAGAGGAGAATCAAAGATTGAAGAGGTCTTTAAGTCAGGTTGAAGATGAGAGGAGGCGTCTGGAGACCCAACTGAGAGATGAAAAAACAGAAGGGGAAAGACTGAGAGCCAGGCTTGAGGATCTTCAGAAAGGTCAACATATCTTGATGGAGGAAAAAGAGGGATGTGTGGAGAAGCTTGGGGCTCGTATTACAGAGCTGGAGGAGGAGAGAGACCATCTCTCGGCAGAGTTTCGAAGGAAAGAGAGAGAGATTGAGGCTCTTAGAGATGAAATGTTTCGGGAGAGGCGAGAGAAGGACAGAATAAGCTCTTTGCTGAATGACGCAAATGAAAGGAAAGAAGTACTGGTTGCTCAGATGGATGTTTTGCAAGAACAGGTGGTTAATCTGTCTAGAACCAAAGAACAAACAAGGTCAATGATCCAGGAAAGAGAAGAACAGAACCAGAAGATGCGAGAGGGGCTGATTGCAGGGCTTCAGGAGATGGCTACTCTGAAGGAACGGTTGGAAGAGAAAGATGAGAGACTTATGGGCTGTAATCAAGAGCAACTTTTGGTCAAACGTGAGCTAGATCAAGAGCGGGAGACTGTTGAAGAACTGAAGAAACTTATAGGAGAACAAGGTGAAGAGGTGAAGACACTGAAGGGAAAGTTGGATGAACGGTTGGAAGATGTGGGAAGGTTGTCACAACTGCTGCAAAACAGCAGAGGGGAAGCACAGGCGTTTGAATCCAGGGCAGAAAACAGTGAAGAGGAGAATCAAAGATTGAAGAGGTCTTTAAGTCAGGTTGAAGATGAGAGGAGGCGTCTGGAGACCCAACTGAGAGATGAAAAAACAGAAGGGGAAAGACTGAGAGCCAGGCTTGAGGATCTTCAGAAAGGTCAACATATCTTGATGGAGGAAAAAGAGGGATGTGTGGAGAAGCTTGGGGCTCGTATTACAGAGCTGGAGGAGGAGGAAGACCATCTCTCGGCAGAGTTTCGAAGGAAAGAGAGAGAGATTGAGGCTCTTAGAGATGAAATGTTTCGGGAGAGGCGAGAGAAGGACAGAATAAGCTCTTTGCTGAATGACGCAAATGAAAGGAAAGAAGTACTGGTTGCTCAGATGGATGTTTTGCAAGAACAGGTGGTTAATCTGTCTAAAACCAAAGAACAAACAAGGTCAATGATCCAGGAAAGAGAAGAACAGAACCAGAAGATGCGAGAGGGGCTGATTGCAGGGCTTCAGGAGATGGCTACTCTGAAGGAACGGTTGGAAGAGAAAGATGAGAGACTTATGGGCTGTAACCAAGAGCAACTTTTGGTCAAACGTGAGCTAGATCAAGAGAGAGAGACAGTTGAAGAACTGAAGAAACTTATAGCCGAACAAGGTGAAGAGGCGAAGACACTGAAGGGAAAGCTGGATGAACGGTTGGAAGAGGTGGAAAGGTTGTCACAACTGCTGCAAAACAGCAGAGGGGAAGCACAGGTGCTTGAATCTAGGGCAGAAAACAGTGAAGAGGAGAAACAAAGATTGAAGAGGTCTTTAAGTCAGGTTGAAGATGAGAGGAAGCGTCTGGAGACCCAACTGAGAGACGAAAAAACAGAAGGGGAGAGACTGAGAGCCAGGCTTGAGGATCTTCAGAAAGGTCAACATATCTTGATGGAGGAAAAGGCGGGACGTGTAGAGAAGCTTGGGGCTCGCATTACAGAGCTGGAGGAGGAGAGAGACCATCTCTCGGCAGAGCTTCGAAGGAAAGAGAGAGAGATTGAGGCTCTTAGAGATGTAATGTTTCGGGAGAGGCGAGAGAAGGACAGAATAAGCTCTTTGCTGAATGATGCAAATGAAAGGAAAGAAGTACTGGTTGCTCAGATGGATGATTTGCAAGAACAGGTGGTTAATCTGTCTAGAACCAAAGAACAAACAAGGACAATGATCCAGGAAAGAGAAGAACAGAACCAGAAGATGCGAGAGGGGCTGATTGCAGGGCTTCAGGAGATGGCTACTCTGAAGGAACTGCTGGAAGAGAGTCATCGTGAGGGAGAGAGACTCAGGTCCATGATGCAGGAAAGGAAGGATGAGTTGGTCCGGAGCAGAGAGGATGGAGTTAGGGCAGCAAAAATTGAAGCCAAAGATCTTCTACTCAAAGTCCAGATGTTTGAGAAGCAAAAACAGGAATTTAAGTCTGCCCTGCAACTCCAAGAGGAACAACTTAAGAATAAAAATGAGGAAGGGTTGCGAAAGATAGAACAAATGCTGCAAAGAGAGGAGAAGTTAGAAGAAGAATTGACGACCATGAAGAGCGTAGTGGAGCAGAGAGAGGCTGAGCTGACCAGAGCAAGGGCTAGAATAGACATCCTGGAAGATCAGAGGACTGAACTCAGCTCTTTGGCCGCAGAGAGGACCAGAGAAGCAGAAGAACTGAGTAACAGATTCAGAGAGCTGAGACAGGAAGTTGACAGACTGAGAGAGGATAGAATAAGAGAGAGTAAAGATTGGGAGGAACTCAAAAATGAAAATAAAGAGAAACAAAATGTGTTAGAAGGATTGGAGTTCCTCAGAAAAACATTGAGGGAAAATGAAAAGAAGATAGAATTGATGAAAGAGAGATATGAAAATGAGAAAAGAAAAAGTGAGAGATTCCAGCAAGCGGAGGAGCAGAAAGTTAGACAACTAGAATTATTCTCAGAGAGACTGAAGGATAAAGAAACTGAGTTGGAGAGTATTCAAGAAATGGCATATAAAGAACAATCAGCAAGACTTAGATTGCAGGATCAATTTGAAGACGAGAAAAGAGATGTTAAGATATTGAGGGAAAAAATGGAAACCTTAAAGAAAGAGAAACACGAGCTGGAGACCAAATTAGAAGAGAATATACGTAATCTTAGAGAATCTGAAAAGAAAAACAATGGACTAAAGATGGATAGTGGCCATGGCACTCTGTCAGACTTCCTAGAGATAAATGCTGAATATCATCAGCCTCATGACAAGTTGTTAGGGACAGACACACTTAGAAGGGACCTTACAAGAAAGGAACAGGAAATAGAGAGGTTGAGGGCAAAGGCTCAGATGCTGCAGACTGAGATAGACAGATTGAACTCCACAATAAAAAATGATAAAGTAAAAACTGGGCCAACAGAGAATGAGAACTGGGGAAGGCTAAAGGAACAAGTGTCCGGTGTCCTTTTAGAAAAGGAGGAGAGGGACAGACTCCTTAGAGAGAAGGATGTTGAAGTATATGCTCTGAAGGAGCGAGCCAAGGAACTGACTAAAGACAGGGACCGGGTCAGGACGGCTCTGGAGAAGACTGAAGCCATGCTGATTTACTATAAAGAGAGGCTGGGACAGCAGGAGCACAAGAGAACCCGAGCAGAAGCTATGTCACAGGTCAGTAAGGCAAAGACATCCCCAAGTTTACAATACCTAGCATAAAATACATGTCATTATAATCACATTTAAAGAGGCAGTCGTGGCTAAATGGTTATAATCAGACTGGTAACTCAAAGGTCGCGGGTTCGATTTTCAATACCGGCAGGAAATGACTGAGGTGCCCTTGAGCAAGGCACCTAACCCCCAATCGCTCCCTGGGCACCACAGCAAAAATGGCTGCCCACTGCTCTCTGTGTGTGTGTGTGTTCACTACGCACTACTGTGTGCACTAACTTGGATGGGTTAAATGCAGAGGACAAATTCCGAATATGGGTTACTATACTTGGCCTTTCACTTTCACTTAATGCAGGGGTAGGCAAGTTCGGTCCTAGAGAGCCGCTGTCCTGCAGAGTTTGGCTCAAACACTGAAAAAACCTCTCCTGCCTATAGCCTTAGTAATCCTGAAGACATTGATTAGCTTGTTCAGGTGTGTTTGATTAGGGTTGGAACCAGTGTTGGGAAAGTTCACTTTCTACATGAACTAGTTAAAAGTTCAGTTCACAAATTTTAAAATGAACTAGTTCAGTTCATAGTTCATACTTCACAATTTTGAACTAAGTTTTTCCATATGGTTTCCGTTTTTCCTAAGTTTTAACTTTTTTTCCATATGGTGCTGCGAGCTATTTTTTTTTAAATTATTGCCACAACCCATATACAATCACTACAGCAATTATTTTATCGGCGGGCAAAGTTTGCACAGAAATGTAAGATTTTTCCCATCCTCACCGACCTTGTCTTAAAACTGATCATACGATACGACGCCTCCTCGCTGCTTTGTCGACTACATGCTGCTTCTTGTCTTGATGACGCATGCGGCGGCCGCGGTGCGACACTGGTGGCTTGTGTTGCCAGATTGGGTGTTTTTTTCGCTACATATTAAGGCCTGTTTACATGTGTTTTAGCCGGGTTTTCGCCTGGAAGGCTCTATAGAAATCTGGCACCCTATTGAACAAAGTTAAACTGAGAGAGCGTGCGTTCACAGACACCAGAATGAACGCGTTCACAGTAACGTTCATCAGGCAGAAATACAGTACGTTCAGTTCACGTTCGCCCAAAATATGAACGAGTTCATGAACTATCGTTCAATGAACGTGTTCAGGCACAACACTGGTTGTAACTAAATTCTGCAGGACAGCGGCTCTCTAGGACTTAGGACTAGAACTTGCCTACCCCTGACTTAATGGTACATATTTATGTAGTTGTGCTGATATGGCCTTGGACTTCATACTGACGCCTACTGGTGTAGATGCATCAAAAGCTAAAGATTTCAGTTATCAATCATAAAAATGCCCTATTCAACCATAATTAGTGTATTCTATGAGCAAAGGTGTTCAAAATCACTGGGTGACAGGAAGTGAGAAATATTTTCGACTATAAAAAGTTACTAAAAAGTGCACTTTTAAATATAGATTTGTTTGATTACCCTGGTATGTAATTAAGGCCTGGTTTCACAGACAGGGCTTAGATTAAGCCAGGATTAGACCTTAGTTCAATTAGTAGTACATTTGCATCTTGAGACAAAACAATGGCAGTGACATATTTTAACATAGCTCTAACATGCATTTTAGTATGTGACTAGGCTTAAGCCTCGTCTGTGACACCGGGGGAAAGAGTAGTATCAGGAAATCTCAATTAAGGACAATTCTGTTTTTCATGACATGTCCCCTTTGAACACATTATTTAGTGAATTGGTAGTTTATGATACATTTTGGCCAATATTAATAGGAGAAAGAGCTTGACCCAAAGGCCCAGGACTCCATAGATGAGGTGGATACAGACTGTGCTGTGCAGGAGCGTCTGTCGGCCATGCAACGGGCCGTGGCACAACTGGAGGTGGATCAGAACCTTCTGCAGAAGAAAAACAATCATCTGGAGAAGAAAATTGAGAGACTACGAACTGAGCGACAGCACCTTAGAGAGACGTTGACACAGGTACGAGCACACCTCACAAAGGGACCATATATTATGATGTCAGCATGATTAATGTACCTATTGTATTTGGCCATCACCAGGTTGAGCTGGAGAGGGGGAAACTGAGGCATCAGCTGTCACGGTCAGAAGCTGGAGTTCTGGTATGATGGAGAGAGTACATTTGCAATGCATTCAATTACAATTCCTGTGTGATGATGGATTTTCACAAAAGGGACAATTTTTGTTTTTGTTAGCCTTATGTATTTTTATTCTTATTAAAGTATAATTTTGTTAGCAACCAGTGTTATTTTAGTATTATTTATACTATTTATTAATATTTTAAATTCGCTTTTAATTTTTAATTTTAGTTTAAGATTTTGTAATTTTGTTGTGCTTTTGCCATTTGTATTATTATATATTATTTTAATTTACTTTTATTTCACCTTAAGTTTTAGTTATTTTAGTACTTCAACTTCTTTATTTTTAGTTAGTTGCAAAGGCAACATTTCAAATGTAAACATTTTCATCTAATATTTTTTATTTGATTTCAGCTCTATTTTAATTACTGAAACCTATTTTTGATAGTTTTAGTTAACAATATAAATCCTGTTAGCAACATGATAATGCCAAACTTCTGCAATAAATTTGTTTTGAGTCATGTGTTAAGTGCCAGTGGAAAGCTTAAATAGCTAAATATCATATCATGTATAGGACCTGTCAGATGGTACGGACAAGGAAGAGCTGAAGCGACTCAGAGCCCAAGCTAGGGAGCTGGAAGAACAGGTTCGTCCTTAACACTTCCAACTGTTCATTAGTATTGTGGGATATCATATGGCCTTAAAACTTAAACCCAATTTTCTAGGTTCACCATCTTCGTCTCATGTTGGCTGTGGACCATCAGCAGAGGGCAGAGTTCATAGACCGCTCTCTGAAGAACAGCCAGAGTCTGATGTTCCTGAGACAGGATCTGAACGAGTCTCTAGCTGCGGTCTCTCAGCGGCCCGTCCCTTCAGTGCTGGAGTCAGAGACACAGAGGCTGGACAGGAGCATCAGAGAGGAAGAGCTCCGACAGTCTCTCAGCCAAAGCTAAAGAAATAAAACACTCCTTTATATGTAATGACTATTATATAGTTCATATAACACCATATTTTTGCACTTAACATTCAGTAATTCTGTCCGTGAGCCTAAGATTTATTTTACACTCAGGATTTTACTGTTACATTTATATATGAATTTATGTATTTTGTAAATATTTTTGTTTTAAACCATTCTAAAAATGAGCTACAATTAGCTACAAAATATCACCTTAAAAGAGGCAACTATTTTAGATGGTGAATTTAATTTCAGGTTTACATCTGTCTTTTCCTGACAGGCAGATAATTTAATAGCTAAAGCTTTATGATCAGTTTACAATACTTTTCAAAGCTATTCCGTCAGTGTTATAATGCGTGCAATATAAGCAGCCTGTTTAATTCAATGTAATACTGTTTTTTTTATTTTTTTTTATAATAAACTTAAAAATGATTCAGAATCTGTTTCCTCACATCTCTGATACCAAATCACAAATATAGATTTTAAGCTCAGGGCCTTGGTGTGGTTTACTGGAATGTATAAACTGATAACGTGTATAGCCCGAATGACAGTTATTTGGGATTAAAGCATCTGCCAAATGCATAAATATAAGTGTTTTCACTGTAGTTTTTACAACACGCATACCATCAAATCTGTGTGGTATGTGTGACTGCTTCTCTTGAAAGTCAACGTCTTAAAATCAATTACAGAGCACTTGATTTTAATGACAGAGCTCTCGTGGTCTTTTGAGGCCTTGTTGCTTTACCTCATATGAACCGTTACGGGGTGGCGGTCACCAGGGGGCGCTGTTTGTATGGAAAGATCGGCTGGCCTAACCTTGCTCAACTTTGATAGTATCAACCATAGACTGCAATCAAAATACAAGCAGTCCTCCCAGGCTCCAACTTCAAAATAATTGCAAGTAACCTTTGCTTATAAAATGCTGTAATAGCGTGGTGTTTTGGCGTAAACTATTGTAACCATGGTAAATTTGTAAGGGTGAAAGGAGAGAAAGAAATCGAGACAATTTTGAATTGGATTGGAGAGAGAGAGGGGGAGAGAGAGAGAGGGAGGTGGAGGAGTAGTAGGACTGGCTACCCTTCATCTGTCTGCTCTAGGCGGAGCTGAAGTTAACGAGAGCGGCCGCGGGAGCTCAACACGATCCGCGGGGCGATAATCATCCACACCGGGAGAAATGCGTTAATTTACTCGAGCAGACCCTGACCCGCGATCAGTTTACCGACCATCATCGACTGAGAGTCACTGCGGTGTTTATCAAAGGCCTCTGTCGCTTTGGATCGGACTCAATGTCGCTCCTGTTCAGTCGCTTGAACCAACCGATTTGTTTGACGCGTTCTGCCCTAGATTGACTTCATTTCAGATACATTATGCAGGAATAAAATAAGATAAAGCCGGGAAATGTTGGGCATGTCGCCAGCTCGTGAAGCTAAACATCGACTAAAGCGGACTGACACGAAGAAACCTGACCCATATTGAGAGACTGCTCGAGCGTCTGGACCAGAACCAAATAGATCGAAACTAAATCTTGTTTATAAACGCTGATAACAACCGAGACGTGATCACAGAAATTTTGAGCCCTCTCTTAAAAAGGCTGAAGACACGCGAGGAAGTGGATCACACACATTGCATGAAGTGTAGGCTAAGTTAATCGCTCAAACTCCGAACCAGCATGGAGAATATTTGTTTATTATCTATTTATAAAAGCACACAGAAACCCAAAGGCATCTAAAATCATGCATTGCCTCCAAACCTATAACTGCACGTCTCATTTCGGACGATTCCCTCCGAGCATATGAGCTTGAACTTCGTTCGATAGAGAAGAGGGGGAAAAAGGAAATCTACTGGAACTTTTTTTTTTTGGAGCTGAACCCATCCAGAAGCATCAGGACTATCATCAGGATGAAAGTGCGGATCCTAAACCGAGCATCAGTACTGTCACTGGGGCTGTGCTCAATGCTTCTGCTCGGTGCTGTGGCTGGTAAATTTGCTTCAGATCTACATTTCAACGATTTAACTGATATTACGTGTATCCATATTACAGAGTTCGTGTTACATTATGTGCATGTTCATTAAAACCACTCAGCGCTGCAGCATGGACACTGTAATGTGAAGTGAACTGAATCCGTTTACTGTACAAATGTGAACTGTCTGGACTGTCGTGCTTCATGTTGCTTTGCTGGTTCACTATTACTGAGTGATGTGTTGAGGTGCATCTTGTTTCAATATTAATGTCAATAGCTTGAACTTGAAGGGTTCCTTCTGTGTGTTAGTCTAGTTAAACTAAAGTGGATTTACTTTGAATTGGTCAACAGTTAGCCTACATAAGCAGGTGCTTTTAGTGCTATAGAAAGATCAGAGCTTGACCAGATAATATTCCTGAATATTGGGAATAGGCAGAAGTTAATTGTTTATATTGAATTTGCAGCTTAGTTGTAGCTTAGGAATTAGTTTGTGCAGTCTTTAGTAGTGGTGAGCTGCTTTTCCGAGTAGCCCCAGAGTGCAGTCTGGACGATGGGGCGGGGCGACACTTTTGGGCGGGGCGACACGTGTCGCTCCGCCCACACCTGATTTTATTGGCTTATAATACAGCACTCTTATTGGCGTAGATGCTTAAGGCATGAGCATGCGCATTCCATTATGTACGAGTCTATGGTAGGAGTTTATGGATGATCTACGACGCTGTTGCCATAGCCTACTACAGAAATATTAAGTTATAACCATGGCGATTTCCTATTTCAGTAACGATCAATTGGATAATGTTTTGATGAATTTACGAATCAAGTTAGATGAAGTTCCTGTCAAAATGTATTCGTATAGCGCTCAATTCACATCGTTTCAAAGCAGCTTTACAAAAAGTAATATTGTAAGCTTTATAGGCTATAATATTGAGCAGTTTTAGGGCTAGGCGATATCACGAAATAGCCTATGTTGCTGATGATACACTGTTTGAGATTTAGCCTAGATACTATTGTATTTATTAATTTACCCTGGAGATAAAGTCAGTGCCACTTTTTAGTGAGCAACGATCATGACGGCATGAAATTACTGGCATAGAAGGAGAGATAATTTCTATAGGCTGATTTAGGCTAGACAATATTTTTCCGCATTTCATGCAGGGCTCCGGAATTTTACATCATTCGTAAATGCTTCTTCGTTTTTCCATTAGGATCAGTGAATAAACACAAACTCGGGATTTTACACAAATGATGATAACTGTATTTCAGTAAAACATTTTATAAATCCAAAAGTGTGTTTTAATTTATTTTAAAGCAAAACCACGGTGACAAATAAGATAGGCTACCAAATAGCATACAAGCCCTGGCCATTGGGGTTTGTGCGTAGGCTACAAAAGGAATAAAAACCGTGCACTGCTGAAATGTGGAAAAAAATATATATATTTATTTACTAAAACAGATTTATTATGTCGATCTAGGCTATAGCAAATATTATTATTTATGTGCTCAAGAGCGTATTTAAGCAATATGCCTACATGTTCATATCACTTCTCTGCTGGGTATTTTATTTATTTTATTATAGGCCTAATAATTGCACAGATTTACAGCAGTGTTTTTTTTTATGGTTATGCAGCTAGCCTATATGTGAGTGTTAATATTTAAAACCATTTTTATCCCGTAGCCTATACTACGCAGATTAAAACATGGACACGTAATGCGGGGGTGGATAAATAAATTATAGGATTTTTATAATGTCGCAGTCACAGATAGTTGTAGCTAGCCTACATGTTAACCAGTTGACACTTATTAGAAAACATGAATCTTTTAAAACTATAACATAGGGCTTTACAGAACCATATATACGCCCTCATTTTATTAACAGGTAAACAACAATGAAACATGAGTTTGCCATTAAACATTTTATTTTGCACTTTGTAGCCTACCAAATAATGCACGCATTGGACAACATCTCGTTAAAAAATGAAACAAAAACGGTCGTGCTTTAAAAATTAAAATCAGCTGCTATTAGGCTACATTCTTATAGTGATTTATCATCCTTTGCGTAAAATCCCGAGTTTGTGCTGATCCACCGATCCTGATAGAAGTATAAAGAAGCCAAGTGAATGACGCGCTATAATGTAAAACATCTCACTGAAGTAGGCCTACAGGTGCTGTGTCACCAAACGTTCGTTTTTAAACAATAACTTAATCAATTCTGTGTCTTAAGTACAATAAAACAGCAATAGATCTTAACTAAAATTACCATGGTAAACCGATAAGATAGCCATACGATTAAAGTATTTAATAGTTCTTTAATACGGCCAAATCATTCATAAAATCGTACTTATAGGAATGCGCATGCTCAGACCTGAATCGTCTACACAAATAAGATCGCGGTATTATAAACCAATAAAATTGGGGGTGGGCGGAGCGACACGTGTCGCCCTGCCCAAAAGTGTCGCCCCGCCCCATCGTCCAGACTGCACTCTGGGGTACTACGCTTTTCCTGAAAACATCGTCAGCCTATTGGTACAGTGATGGTGTCAGATGGTAATATTATGATTCACGTTTCTGAATTATTACATTATTAATGTACTAACACTGTAAAAAAGTTGCTGCCTTAAACATTCAAGTTGATTGTACTTAGAATTTTAAGTAGTTTCAACTTAAATTACATTAAACTGACTTAAAAATTAGTTGAATCTTGCATAACTTATAAAAAAGTTTAAAATTGCTTAACTTATTTGAATGAGTTGCAATTTAAAAACATATGTTGTCAAAACTTATTGATCATATAGCCTACTTTTTTTTTTTTTACAGTGTGTGGTATTTACAAAAAATATTTTTTATTATGGGGCATGTCCTAAAATCTTGGTATTGCCATGGTATTTTTTTTGTTTTTTCTCAATACTCTTGTTTTATCTGAATGTTTTTGCCTTTGAATGCAGCAAATGATTTGGCAATGTTTCCTGGTGGTGTCTCATGGTGAATCCTGTTTTTTTTTTGTAGTTTGATGTCAGTATAATGTTTTAGTCTGTTTAAACTGAAGTGTTTTGACTATGCATTGGTCAGTTACACAGGCTGCAGAGGAGCTTTTGAGGATATTTGGAAAGAAATAAGAAAAGTTTTTGGATGGTTGGTTTCATAATCAGATGTTGTTTTTTAGGCTGATGGCTTGCTCATATCTGTTTTAGGACCAGGACTGTTGCAAAAAAAATGTTTGTGAAAATGTTGGCAATAGTGCAGGATCAAGTTAAAATTTAAGCTGTGTGTATAAATCACACAGACTGGGGATCATTATCAGAGAGTGTGTTTTGATGTCTGTTTCTTGCTTTCATATAGATCAGATCGACCATGCTGTGTGTCGGCCATTTGTGCCTGTTTACCCTGTTGTTATGTGCAGTTAGTCATCAGATCAGAAGCATGTGATTATTGTGCCATTGATTGTTTTGAGACCCTTGAAAAGTCCCTACAGGAATGTGATGAATGGATATATTTCCCTATGCTGTACGCAAGAATTCATTCAAGCCTTTTCCCTAATTAAGCGTTAATTAGACATACAGGGTTTTGTAGGGTAGTTATTGTTTTATGTGAGCTAACTGCACTGCTGATAGTTGGAAATGTATTTTAGGTTCTGCCTTGACCTCGGTGAGATAACGGTCTCCGTCTCCACTTTTACAGTAGATTATGGAGAGGATGGAAGGAGAAGACAAGGGAATTATGAAAGTGTTAGTTGTGCTCTATTCCTCAAAGGTGCACCCAGTCATTTGTCCAGATTTATAATGTTTTACTCCTTAAGAAATTAGAACTTTTGACAAATGTTTCAAATGGCTTGCACTCATGGAGGCTGCCATGTTGAGATCACATGACCTGCAGTGTCATGCAATTTTAAAGAGTTCTGTGAAAAATAAAAATACCACTTTGTAAATAGATTTATCTTATTTATATTTTAAATAAACGATTGTTGTCTATTAGAGAATCCTGAAAAATATGTACTATGGTTTCCACAAAAATATTAAGCAACACAATACTGTTATCAACATTGATAATAATAAGAAATGTATCATATTATAATGATTTCTGAAGGATCACGTGACACTGAAGACTGGAGTAATGATGCTGAAAATTCAGTTTTGCCATCACACAAATACATTATTTTAGTTATTTTAATTTGTAATAATATTTCACAACAATATTAATGTTTTTACTGTATTTGATCAAGGAAATGCAGCCTTGATGCGCACTGACTGCGGAAGCGACTTCTTTCAAAAACACAAGTCTTACTGAACCCAAACTTTTGAACAGTAGAATGTAAAACAAAGAAATAGGCCTGCAACAAAAGTCAACCAGGCAGCTCTGATAAGAAAAAGAAAAGCTTGTCAATGTTGATTTATCAGTCAGTATGAAGTCCAAGACCACTGGGACGAATAAGAGCCAGCAAAATATAACCCAAACATTAATGAGTGCAGCTTAAAGTTGAACGGAAAGCAAGATCCTTAGATTCTCTAATATTCACATTGGGAATATGCAGGATTTGAACACAGCAAGAATTTGCATTAAAAAAATCAAAATCGCCACACTTTTTATTTGATTGTGCCACTTTTACCTTACAGTTCTGTAATGATACACTGGTCACATGGTAACCATGATCCACATAACTGAATGTTTACCATATTCAAATACTATAGTTTGTACATGGTACTTCAAAGAATAATTGCTCCTATCATGGTGGAACGTGTCCAATATGTTGGTATTATCAAGTTTGTTGTTAATGCTCTGTTTGTTTTTGTCTTTGAATGCAGCAAGCGCATCCACAGAAATATCTCCTATTAATTTCCGGTCATGAAAATAACCCAATATTCCTTTTGAGAAATGGAGGAACTGTACGGTTTTTACAGTTATTATGAGTCATAAACTTAAGCTTTGATTTTCAATTTCATCTATGGTTGAACCCCTAGGGCGCACAAATAGAAATGGCACATTCACATTTCAAATATAGTCAATCTCTTGAACAAAAGCTTTG